GATATGTATGTGACTTCTTTCAGCTGCAACATGAATTGGCATATTTTCCACAGTAACATTAATATTTTCAATCTCAATGACTTACAATATCAAAAACTAGCTCCTTCTCAACAGGCGTGAAAATATTGTCACCGCCTTGTGAATATGCGTGCCTTTTTGAAGGCTGCAGCACAGAAAGATAGCAATTAGAAGTTATATAAACGGTGAAAATATATCTATCCTACTGAAACAACTTACTGACTCACTAACACAAACCTGTCTACCCCGCAAAGAAAGGACACAGAGAAATTGGGGTACCTTCAGCTAAGGGGAGGCATCAAAATGTGAAACCATATGATTAACTCAACGTATAGCCATTATGCGTGTTTCAGCTAAAAAGAAACTTCTTTTTTTCTTTTGAAGTGACTTAACAAGCAGACAGTATAAAAACACATATAAGAACCTCTCAATACACATAAAAGCAACAAATGTAGCAAATTAACTGTAAATAGCTTTTACCCGAATCCTCTTGTTCATAGAGGCAAAAATAGAGAAAACACAAGGGGAACAGAAGAATGATTTTCTCAATTCATTTTTTTCAGATAGATAAGAATAATTTGGTATTTATACACGAGAGATATCCTCAGAAAATGTTACACAATATTCTACACTAAATGTAGTATCAAGAATATCTCTTGCATAATTATCATAGCGAGAATTTCTTAATGTATATCCTACAAGATATTCTACAATTTGTCCATCACGCTAACACATAAACTTAACTTAAGTTCTAATGCAGGGAGAACGACAGTAGCAGAGATCTTACATCTACGCTGTAGACAGGTCCAATATCTATTTTGAAAGGACACTTCTCTTTGATAGCATTTTCCAGCTCAGATACAGAATTAAACGATTGAAATCGCAAGTAAATATCATTATCCAATGTGAAAGAAAACTCCCTTCGACCAAAGTATGAGTGATCACAACCTGGATGCTTTCCATCTGGAGAACCCACAATAGTAGTGTTACAAAAGAAATGTGAAATGAGAAATTGCATATCAAGGAACTGCTTTTACCGTTGCCATAAGACAGCCACTTGAACATATCAACATAAGGGAAAATCTTTCCTGCAAACAGAGAAGAGTTGGCTTGAGATATCAATCCATAAATGGTTTTCGAGATTAAATTAAAAATTACTGATGTGTGACAGAATTTTTTCTTAGAGGATGAGGGATCGAGGAAGGCAAAAAATTGCCCCCGCATAGCTCTATCACAACAATCTTGAATTCCTTGCCCTATTGCTTTCAAGGAAGATAAAAAGCTACAGCATCCTTTAGTTTATACTGACACCTAAAAAACATTTCTTCAAACAATTTTTAATTTTACATCGCAAGATTTAAAAGTATCCCTTTGTTTCTTGAACTCCATGCTGAATCAAACTAAGACACTTGAATTGGAACGGAGAGAGTATGTTTTGCACATATCAGCCTAGTATACAAATGTCTAATCCTAGCTTAAAAAAATTGTGAAACTAAGACACTTAAATTGGAACGGAGAGAGCATGTTTTGCAAATATCAGCCTAGTATACAAATGTCTAATCCTAGCTTAGAAAATTCATGACAAACATATGTGTCTAAGTGAGTGTAAAGAAAAGGACCGATGTAGAGTATGTGTTGCAATTTCATCCTAACTGAAGAGCGCATCGGATAAATACAAGTAATAGATTTCAAACTCATCAAATCAAATGAGCTTCGACAGAATTCCAAACTACAACTCATAAAGCTAAAATCATGATACTCAACGTATACAAATGAACAAAACCAAAATGTAACAAACAAATAATTACCATAATATGCTTTTAAATAATCGGCATTGAATCCTTCTGGAACGGCATTCTCTAGCCTCCTTTGCTCAATTTCATCTCTATCTATTAACATATCATCTCCTCCATTCTCAACTTCTTCTCTGTTCATTTTCCAAAATTCCTTTATCCAAATTTACAGAAATAATTTACGCAGCACTGTAAACATAAACAAATGTTTTAGATTATCTTCACCGGAGTTAACCCTAGCAATTGTAAGCACCAGGAAGCTATAATAAAGGTTCAAGTAAGCTCAAACAGAACATTAGTCAGGATAAAACTAAGGATAATATAGAACTCACCGGTATACTTGAATCACCGGCTGAATACAGCGGCGTCGGATACGGCGGACGGCGGCGGCGATGAAGATCTAGAACGGAAGCTGAAAATGGCGGGAAATCGGACTGAGGATAATGAAGCATTTAAGTTGGCGGGAGAAAAGATGAATTTATTGAACCGTTTATTGGGCCGTGTGATTTAGTTTTGGGCCTGATTTATATGTTGCGAGCAGAGTTGGTAAATAAATAGTTTTAAGTTTTAACCTCTCGTGTCAAATATTGGTCATTATTTTAAGAGTATTTATTTCCTTGGTTTCAATTTCCATGTGATATCTTTTGAATTTTTGAGGGTACGAATGTAACGGCTTTGTGTTCTCGAATGTAAATATAGCTTTTAAAAAGAGGAAATTTTACAAATAATCATTATAATAAACTTAATTGGGCTTCATAGTTATAGTTTGCATAATTACGTGTTGTAGTTATAGTTTAAACTGTTATGTACCTTTGTTTGTATAATTTGCGGATATATTTGTATAATTTGACTATTTTATCTGTACGTATGTATAAACTAGTTAATATCAATTGATTTGTATTTTTTTTTGTTTAAATTATAAATAACGATTTTATACAAATATAAATATTTGAACTTTAAACAATTATACGAATTAATTGTAATATACAAATTACATTATACAAAAGTTATACAGATGTATATGCTTATACAAACTGAAAAAAGTGGATCACGTAATTATCATTGAATATTGATGACGAGTGGTAATTAACAAAAACTATAGCTATGATGAACTAATTAACTAGTATATGTTTATTTAACCACGTATTTGTCCTTACAAACATAATTGTTACATTCATATATAATATATTAATATATTGTTTAACCTTCTGGTAATTACTAATATTTTTATTTACTGAAAATGAATCTTTTTAAAAATTACGTAAATTCCAAGTCCTTGTCAATATAGGACTATAAATTGCATGCCTATTAAAAAAAACATATTCCAAATCCTTATTAATATAGGACTACAAATTCCATGCCTATAAAAACTCAACTATAGTTTCGTTATTCAAGGTAAATTATTCAAATTATTGCAAATCGTATTAAAGTGATAGAAGATTTTATTGCTTTTCGTGTTGTTTGTGCCTCTTGGCGATTTGCCACTAATAACGATGATTTTGATGTGTTTTTGCCTCAAGTTCCATTGCTTATGCTAGCAGATAAAGACAATGACTTTGGAAAATTTTACTCTCTTGCCAAAAAAAAAAGTTTCACGATTATTTCTCTCCAAAGTGAGAGTGCTTTCCATCGAACCGTTGCTTACATGGTCTATCGCGGAAGAGATATGGGAGCTTACAATCTTGAAAATGGAACAATTGAAGCATTTTATCTACGATCGTCAAGAAGTTGTTTTTCCCCGCCAATGTGGGTTACACCATCAATGTGAAGAGCTATGGTCTTTTATATTTTATTTAATTTATTTGTGTTTTAAATTAAAATTTGATTTTCAAGTAAAAAATGTGATCTTAGATTACTAATATTATTCTTGAAAGTTTGACCATCGCTAACTTCAATTTTGGAAGTATGAAATCAATGTGTCATTGTCCCTATCCGAATCTAAATTATAGAAACTTCTTAAAAAAGTTGTGATTGAAATTAAAACCATAAACTTCTTAAGGAAATTGTGATTGAAATTAAAATTATTTGAACTACAAAAGTAACTGATGCTCAGTTATTTAAAATTATACAAAATATTAAGTATGAAATATTCTGGGGTAGTGCAAACATTCTTATTATCATATTCAATTGAGAATTTTGATTCAAGATTTTTTCTTTGATTTTGGAAGATTATTCAATTAATAATCTTGATTCTAGAATTTTTCATCGCGTAATGCATTGGATTGAGATTTTGGTCAATTCTTATCGATGACTCGATCTTTTACGATCTTTTCATTTTTCTTTGAGAACTTTTTAGAGAATGTTTTATATTGCTTTGAAAGATGGCTTGCACTTGCTTGATTTATAAATGAAAGTCTCATATTTATACTACACATTTAGGAGCTAAAGTATAAATAAAAATTATCATACAAAGCCTTGTATATTTACAGAGATATTCGATCTAGAGTTGTCTTCAAACCTCTTCAAGATTCTAGAATAAAACTCCCGAAAGTCAGACCAACATAAGCAATGAAACTTGGGGCGAAAACACGTTGAAATCAGCCTTTGTATAGGCAATCCGCCAAGAAGTACAAATAGCACGAAAAAATAATAAGATCGTTGGGCATTTCTTCCCAATTTGCCATAGTTTTCTAGGGAGAAAAGAGCAAATAAAGGATAAGAATTAGTATTGTGTGCTCTGAATAATGGAACTATAGTTTGAGTTTTTTTATATGCGTTGAATTTATAATCCTATATTGACAAATGACAAGGATTTTGGAATAGGCCAATAATATTTTCTCATAAGCATTTAATTGAATTGGCAGGTCATTTTTATTTTATTTTCATTTGATTTTTACATGGTTAACAAGGCATTTAAGAAGGATTAATAATTGAACAATAAAGTCCCGTAAATTACTGAAAAATCAAAATTGTAAAAAAAAAATATAATTCGAATAAAACATCGCAAACCATCAAAGTATGTAAGAAAAAAGAAAAATTGCGTGTAATTTCACGTAATTGACATAAATTATATGTCACTTACTTAAATTAGTACCATTGTAGTCTCTCATTTTGCAAATGTATTGATATCTCTGTTACTAAATTGCTTTGTATCTACTTATTTTTATCGTCATATGAATATATTTTTTGCTCTCTAGCTATTATAAGAATAATATTTGCATTTATTGTATTCTCTTCAAACTCCACTTATTATGTATAATCGACACAAATAACAACATAGTTTTATTGCCAAAGGTAATAAGCAGTTACATTAAATTGGTACTTAAAGTACCAACACACAAACACACAACTTAAGATTTCATAATTAACTTCACATAGTCAATATATAGCTAGTAGCCATAGCTGATTTGCTTCTTATTTTTTATTATCATAAATACTCCCTTATAGTACTGGGACATGTAATTCAATCTCTCCCATAAGCCAGGCTGCTACACATGAAACCCTACAACAAAATAATTAAACATTAATCATATAGTTAATTTCACATATTTATGAATATTTTTTTCGTTTAATTTATAATAAGTAGCGTGCACGTTTTAACTTTTATGACTATACTATTAAAAGTGAAGTAAAGTAGAGTTCAGTTACTTTAACGTGATAAGAAACAGTTTTGTAAGCTCTATTGTTATTATAGTGAGTTAAGTTTAGTAATTATTTGTATGTAAGACTCTATATTATTTTAATTTGTACGATGAGTTTAACTTTTGTACACGATATAATTACCTGTAGTAATTAATTTAGCAATGACGCTCGTCATCGCTGCTGTCGCTGCAATCGCTGCCACTGCCGTAACCGTTTCTCTTACGGTGTTGTTTCTTGTAAGTGGTGCAGCCCGAAGAGCCCATTGCATAGCTACTATGTCCGTCATGTTTCTTTCCAAAGCCCATAACATGGCCCAAAGCTGTGCCCGTTCCGAGGCCCAAGCCCATACCGGGCTTGGGTTTGTGCATGTTGTGGCCCGTGTAGCCCATCCCATGAGTATTGTTGTGGCCCGTACCACAGCCCATTCCATGAGAATTACTGTTGTGGCCCGTACCGTAGCCCATTCCATAGCCCATCCCATGAGAAGTACCGTTATGGCCCGTACCATAGCCCGAGTTATGGCCCATCATCGGCCCACATGGGTTGCTACCATGTTGATGGCCATGGCTAGAGCCGTAGCCCATCATTCCAGGTTTGGTTTCGTAACACTTTTCTTTCTCATAGTAAGATTGTTCATATCCAGAGCTCGAATAAGAAGGTTTTTGATTTCCGTAACTATAGTAATCGAACTCTTTGCCTTCTTCTTTGTAGCACTGCATTGAAGCCATGACTTAATGGGGTTTTTGTTTGTTTGTTTGAGATGAGTGTTTTGTTTTTTGATGGCTTGAGGAAAATGAGTTGACGAAGATAGGTATTTATACGAGTATATTGGTTAGTAGGATTCTTTTATTTCCTCCATTATTTGATGCAAAGGACCAACAAGAATTTATTCTAAAAGGATAATATGATTGAATATGATAGATAAATATTCTTTTATATCTTGTTCAATTTTTATTTGAATGCCATAAAATAAGTGTTGCACAATACGATATTTATTACTTCTTATAACATTGTGCAAGATTTAATTAGCTTAATAACATACTTATTTTGAAGACAGAGATTGATCGATATTTTAAGCTTTATATAATTAAATGGACGATTCGTCACTAAAACAAAATGTTTGTATCTCAATTACGTGACATATTGAAACATTTACGACAATATTTGATAGGTATAAGTCTTAATCTAAGTGTCTAAGTGAAAAAATCGAACAAATTTAAAAAATTGCATATATATACTCGATCAAAAGAATCCTAACTAGTTTAATTATCCAATGCCTGCATGGCAAATATAGTACGTAATACATTTAATTTGGTATCTTTGTGCAATAAATATTTTTCAAAGATTCACTACGCACTTATGATATTGAGTGACATAAAGTTTGTTCGATTTATTGTTATTGAGGAAAATACCACTTTTCAATATTTGTAATTTTATAGAACGGAATATAAGTACACTTTCATAATTTTTACTATTCCAATCACTAGCCACGTACACTTCATGTTACAATTATAAATTTTTGAGAAAAAAAATTAGAATTCAAAAAATTATTAATATAATTAATAGTCGCTCACTATAACAACTTATATATAAATCTAAAAATAGTTAGTGAAACATGATGTATAATATATGTATAAGTTATAACGGTGTATATAGTTAATATATATCGTCTAAGAAAAAGGAAATAGTACATTAATCTACCAGATATTTTCACAAAGATGCCAAATTAAAAAGCTCGACATAATTTAAATAAAATTTTAAGTTTAGTAAGTGTTATTGTATAGTTTATTAGTAATATTTACTCGATGTATTCACCATATTCAACTTTTCTTTTAACTTCAACAAAAATATTTCTAATTATATGTTTTCATGATCAATAATATATATGTCATGAACAAGTTGACAAAATTAATATAAAATTAAAATTATCTTTTTTCTTATTTATATTAAGTTCAAATTAAATTGACTCATCATTCATTGTCACGATACTCACGATCCGGTTGACCTACCAACCATAGTCCCCTAAAATAGTCTAGTAATTGAAGGAACTACATTTTATATTGTCGTAGACTTGTAAGTTGTAACGAGAAAGTGAATAAGAAAGGGTATTTTTGGTATTTGATTGAATTTTGTCACCTAATATAAAATTTAATAAAAAAGCATAAGAATAATCTTAAATTTCTTCAAAAATTTTATTTACACATTCTCTCTCTAAGGTTAAATAAATATATCTCCACACTCTTTTTTCTTATTTTATTTTATTCTTAATTGTAGATCGATAACACTCTAAAATTATTTTAAATTGTAATATACAAAAGTCATATTCAAGTATGAGTTAAAGTATTATAGTGATATATCTACGCTATGTTATGTGGATATTTAATTATTATTTTCTACTTTTTTTGTATTCCTTTTGCTTTTTTCTTATCTATATTTTTTTTTCAATTTATTTTCTTCCACATATGTTACTTTCACTTAATAAAACAAGATGTCATGCTTCACCCTCCTTATCTATCTGTCTCTTTTCCGTGCCAAATAATGATAGAGTCAGAAATTTTTAGCAGGATATAATCGAAAATTTTTATTAAAAAATTCAATTCAAAAATATGAAAAAATAAATGTAAAAAAAGGTTAAAGAGTATTTAGCATCATTTTATTATATATTGATATAAATAATGTTTTTTTTTTCATAGAAAAGAGAACCACTCCCCTCCTACCTAGCTTTATTCAATTTCAGTTTAATTTTCCCTTATGTATGATTATTTAGTGGTTGTTTGGTGATTTAATGATGGATTAGCAGTGGATTAGTAATTGTGGATTCTTTTATGTATGGTTTCACCCTAAAAAAAGAGTGAAGTATGTATTTGAGGAGATAATAATTCAATTTTAAAATATTTTTATTATTTATTAAAATAATATTTAATTTGATCTGAATATAATTAAAGTTGATTGTCTAATAAAAATATTTATCTCTAAATGAAAATTTTTAATTTCACTTTAAAGTATTTAAATTCATCGAATATCGAAGAACAAACAGATCATTGTATTAATAAGTGTAGGCTAACGACTTATCCGATTGGAATGAAGAAAATGATTGACTAGAATCCAAATGTTAACAGGATAAAATGTTTTGATAATGCATCTATTTTATTTTATGAGATATATTTCTTCTATACTTAGAATAATTTAATTTTGAATTCTTTACTTTAATTTATTCTGACATAATTTTATAATGGAATCATGCAAATATCATAAATGTTTTGAATTATATAAATTGCAAGAATTTTATTCCTTTTGTTTTACACTGAAATTATATGGTAGATAATCCTAACGATAATCCCAGTAATCATAATAATTTGATTTCGAACCAAACTATACAATTCATTCGTCTTTTTTAAAGTTCGTTTTAGAAAAAAATATATTTTTAATTCTTTTTTCATATGATATATAATTAAAATCAATAAGATTAAATAACATGATATTTTTTTCTTTTTTTTTTGAATTCTTTGAATAATCGGAAGTTGCTATAATTTCTGTCATTTCTATCCGACAGACTCGACTCAAAAGTGTTGAGTGAGGATCAATCCCGAGTCATCCGCGTGAATAACCACCTTCAAAATCAACTAATCATCTCGAATGACATATGAAATGTAAATCGTACTAGATAAATTCTATGTGACAAAATCAACTCAGAAAATATTGAGGGAGATCAATCTCGAATTATCCGTAGGGATAACCACCCTCAAAATCATCTGAGTCATTCCAAAGGACATATATTTTTAGTTTATAGACATAAAATTAATTTTTTTTTTTTCACTTTTTAAAATTTATGTCAATTCAAATAAAATAAATAAATTAAAATAAAAGAAAAAACAAATAATCAAGATACTTTAAAGCCGACAAGGGCACAATATTATTAATAAAGATTTTAACCAATTACTTATCTTATAACATCAAATATATTATTCTAAAATAACATTATCAATTTCTACTTTTGTAAAAAGTAGTTTTCTCCATTTTAGATCAAAATGTTAATTAAATTTAGAAACTTAATACCTACCCCCCACCACCAAAAACCCCACTTGCACAAATTATCTTAATTATTTAAATTACAAAAAAATAATAACAATAATGGAGGTTTATAGATGTGGACGAGAAAATAAAAATATATATAAAAAAATAAAATAACCCATCAAATTTAAACCACTCAAAAAATTATTTCGAGGTTCTAATGGCGGTGTCTTTTGGCTTTTTCTAAATTAATTTTTCTCATTTTCCACCCTTTTTTTTTCCAGATTTATTCGCCGTCGACGAGGTTGTCGGTGCCGTTGTTTTTTCTCCGGCGATGGTCAGCATCATGAACGTTGATAGAAAAATTAGTAGTGAAGATGAGTATATTAGGAGACATCATAGACATGATGTTAGAGATAATCAGTGTAGTTCATCACTTGTAAAGCATATTAAAGCTCCTGTTCATCTTGTAAGTAACCCCAATTAAGATTCTTGAAAAAAAGTTTGAATTTTTATGTTTATTTTCATTTGTTAAGCATATTAGAGCTCTTGTTGATGTTGTAAGTTGCCCCAAGTTAGATTCTTAATCAAAAAAGGCGGAATTTTTATGTTTATTTTCATTTGTTGAGCATAATATAGCCCCTGTTGAGGTTGTAGGTAGCCCCTATTCAGTGTATTGAAGAAAAAAGATTGGATATTTATGTTTATTTTGAGATAATTGATGCAACTTCTCACTTGTTAAGCATATTGGAGCTCTTGGTGATGTTGTAAGTTGCCCCAAGTTAGATTCTTGAAAAAAAAATGACTGAATGTTTGTGTTTATTTTCATTTGTTAAGCATATCAGAGGCCTTGTTGAGGTTGTAGGTAGCCCTTATTCAGTGTATTGAAAAAAAAGATTGGAATTTTATGTATATTTTGAGATAATTGATGCAATTTCTCACTTGTTAAGCATATTGGAGCTCTTGGTGATGATGTAAGTTGCCCCAAGTTAGATTCTTGGAAAAAACAATCTTTATAGTGTTTTCCGATAACATAGATTATGGATTTTAGTTTTCACAATAGCTGTGGATTTGAGAGAAAAGAGGGGTTGGTTACTGAAAAGAGAGCTCCGTCTTTATCTGTTGAGGAAGCTAGTTGCAGAGATGCCTTGAACTTTTCTTTGGACAATGTATTTTAAGCTGTTTATGAAAGAGAAAAAAAGCAGTGAGTTTGAAACTATTCAAGACGTTTGATTGTTTTATTACTTCATTTCATTGATGTTCTTCGAACTGTTCAGGCTTGTCAATTGATCACTGGAAAAGATTGAAGTAAGTAGACTATTTTGGATTTCTATGGTTTACATGTATTGTATCTAAAGACGGAAAATGGATGTACCATGTATGTTTTTTTGTTTTGAGAAAGGTAACATATTTATGTTTTCTTCACTGGGTACTTACTGGGTTTTGGTATATTTGATAGGTTTGGTCATTAGTGAGGAGGTTTGATCAACCACAAAGGTACAAACCATTTGTTAGCAGGTGCATCGTGCAAGGGGACCTTGAAATCGGAAGTGTTAGGGAAGTGAATGTTAAGTCCGGACTCCCAGCTACCACAAGCAAGGAGAGGTTAGAGCTTCTAGATGATGACGAGCACATTTTTGGTGTAAAGATCGTAGGTGGAGATCACAGGCTTAGGGTATGAGTCTTTTATCTCATCGTTTGATATGTATTGAATATATCCATAACTTTTCCCTCGTAGAATCAACCATGAAGCGTGAAGTATCAACAAGTGACCTATATAGTCAAGTTATTGCTCTATTTATTCATGAAGTCTTTCTTGTGATCTTTTTATTTTATTTCCCTCTTTTTGTGTGTATTTGGGTTTGGGGGGTTGGGGGTATTTTGTTGGTTGTTCACTTTGGATTCTTAGGCTCGTCACCATATGTTCTGTTATTATCCCGGGAAGGAAAAACAAGAGATGATGGTGACTGTCTTAATTTTTCTTCACATTACTTGCAGAACTACTCATCAATTATCACTGTTCACCCGAAGGTCATTGACGGAAGGCCTGGAACAATGGTAGTCGAGTCATTCGTGGTGGATGTACCAGATGGGAATACTAAGGATGAAACTTGTTACTTTGTCGAGGCCCTCATCCGGTGTAACCTCAAATCACTAGCTGATGTATCCGAGCGCTTAGCTGTGCAGGGCCATATGGAGCCTATCGACAGAATGTAGGTTAACAGCTTCATCATTTTGCCAAGCGTGCAAGGATTTGATTAGAAAGCGAGTAAGAGTGACTGGTACTTATGCCGGTCCTTCTCGATCTCAGAAGTATATATATCTTTATCTATATATACATATATATATGTTCATGCTTCCTCTTCATCATCTGTAAGGTCATCGCGGTTTGTAAAATGCAATCAGTCTATTTCATAATGTGAAGAACCAGCCATGCTGTTTGTGGCTGTGCGTGAATTGAGCTTGGGTTGTAAACATCTATGCTCATTAAGGTGCTGTTTCTTGTTATAGGATCATTGTTGTGTGGTTATGACACGCTATACGCTCGTGTATCTTTTGATTTTGGTGTGTCAATATGTACCAGAAACAGTATTTGGTATATTAAAAATAGGGTGCTTGCTTTTTGTTCTGTGTTCCACTTTCCCCTTGAGATTTGTTGTACCGACTCGAGGGTCCTTAGGAAAACACAGGGTAAAGTTTGTGTACATTTTATCCTATTCAGACTCTACTTATGAGATGTTATTGGATATGTTGTTGTTGTTGTTATCACAAGGTGTGATATAGTGATTCAACGAAGATGGCGCAAGTCGCAAGAGAGATCAACATTCAAATCTCTCATTAAATGTGCCAATGCAAGGCAACATGTTTATGGTAAAATAGTTGGAACATGTGTTGATACATTTGTTTGAACTGATATGTATAGTTGATATATGTGTTGTTGTGATACAACATGTCTATGGTAATTGTGTTGTCACACGCGCTAATGCGAAATATTATGTATTTGGTGAAATAGTTGATGTGTGGTTGATGTGATACATCATGTCTATGGTGAAAATGATAGTATATGTGCTAATGCGAAGTAATATATATTCGAAATAGTTGATATGAGTGAAAGTTGATTCAAACAAGAGATACATATTGCTATTCAAAAGTACCATAGGCCCTAAATCTCTTTTCCAAATCTTCTAAGGGAAACAAAAGAAAAGGCAAAAATGACAAAGAGATGGCAACTAGTAACTTACTAGTTACTATACATTTTTGCAAAAAGATACAAAAAGCAATCCATTCTCTTTGTTTTGTTGTGATTAGCCAACAACTTTTGAAGTGATTTAGTGGGGGAACTTAGCTTTAGTTGATATATGTGGAGCTTTATTCTTCATATCACTAGCTAAGCTTTTAATTTTCATGTTAAGTTGTGGATCTTTGCTTTAATAATTAGTACTTTTGGAAGTGGTGAGAGGATCTAATCTTTAATGGTTCTCAAAAGTGATATCAGGCGTTAGTACGTAGTTGAGTGTTAAAATATCTAATTTTACGATTATATTGATATGAGATAATAAGTATATATTAAAAAACAAAATTTTAACATAAAATGAGCTGGATTGTGTTTAATATAGACAACGGCAGGACACATGGTTATTCCAGCTACCAACAATAAGTGCAGCTATCTACACACGTGAAATGTTTTAATTTTGTGAATTTGTGTTACAATTATATAATCTTAAAAAACTATATAATAAAATAAAAAGTGCCTATATGTATATAATTTAATCAAATTTTATGTGTGTTCACGGATTACGGTGAAATGAGAAGTATTCTACTCTAGAAAAAAAATGCTATAACTTTCTATATTTTATTATTTTTGAATCTGATTATTTTTTTGGAATTTCATTTGCGGGATTTTCTAAATATATTATCGTATTTGTTTGATTCTTTTAATATGAAACTTTTCAACGTGAAATATTGAATAAATTCATGTCCAAACGGTCGTTATTGTACTCGGCCCATGACGGTGAGTGGCTCTGTTTTCAACTAATCAACTTCAGGACCCCTGTTTTTCTCTTTATCTGCAAAATTTCAAGTAGCATTAAATAAATTTTGCTCATAAAATCTTCTTTTCTTCATCTTAAACTTTAAAATACAACAAAAGACACTTGCTTGTAGACAAACTACACCTCCAGGTACTAAATTTCAACTTTTTTTAATGCTCATTTTGTTATTTTCTGCTAAATTATTTACTTTACAATGGGAATTTTGATGTACATAGCAAGATCTGTGTGTATTTGGAGTTATCTTTTTGGGATTTCTACTGCATTTTTTTGGTTTGTTTCTGCTTGTTTCTTTTCTGTTTTTTAAGCAGGAATTAGCTTTCTTTCTGCTTTAACATTATAAAATTTCTGAACTTTCAACTGAGGTTTCATGGAGACTGAACAAGATCTGTGTAATTGGAGTTCTCTCTTTGTTATTTTTACTGCATTTTAGCTTATTTTGGTTGGGGTTTTCTTGAGCTTTTGCTTCTTCATTCTTGAGAACTAAAAAATGGAAAAAAGAAAGGTTTTTTTGCTTACCCTTTTGATTAATCTTGCATAATCTTAACTCTTAGCAACAAAAAAAAAAGGAAAAAGAAAGGATTTTTTGCTTGCCTTTTTGATTAATCTTGCATAATCTTCACTCTTAGCAACAAATAAATGGAAAAAAGAAAGGATTTTTTGCTTACCCTTTTGATTAATCTTGCATAATCTTCACTCTTAGCAACAAAAAAATGGAAAAAAGAAAGGATTTTTTGCTTACCCTTTTGATTAATCTTGCATAATCTACACTCTTAGCAACAAATAAATGGAAAAAAGAAAGGATTTTTTGCTTACCCTTTTGATTAATCTTGCATAATCTTCACTCTTAGCAACAAAAAAATGGAAAAAAGAAAGGATTTTTTGCTTACCCTTTTGATTAATCTTGCATAATCTTAACTCTTAGCAACAAAAAGAAAAGGAAAAGGGAAGGATTTTTTGTTTACCCTTTTGATTAATCTTGCATAATTTTAATAATTAGTTCATATACACGAATTATTGAGTAGTCAAATGAAATTGGGGTCCTAATCAAACTAATGGGCATGGAAGGTTCTTGTAGTTATAACTTATAGTCGGTCGAGGGTCTATCGGAAACAAAGTCTCTTATATTCACAAGGTAGAAGTAATCCTTCTCAGACCCCACTTGTGGGATTACATTGAGTTTGTTGTTGTATAATATTCACAATTAAAGCTTGAATACATTTTCTTTTTCCAGTTTCCTTCAACTCCAGAGATAATGAATCGTTGGGTTGGGTCAATATTTCTATGCATTATCAGCACATTGCTTCTGACGAGCTGGTTGGTGGCGGCGGAGGGGGAGACATGCTCGGGGATAGTACCAATGCAATATCGAAATGATAAGATATCGATATTGGACTTTGGAGGTGTAGGTGATGGGCGGACATTGAATACAAAAGCGTTTAAAGAAGCAATCTTTAGAATTCAACACTTGAAGAGGAAGGGTGGAACTTTGCTTTACATACCTGCTGGTGTATATTTGACTGGCCCATTTGATCTTACTAGTCGAATGACTCTTTATTTGGCCCGCGGTGCTGTTATCAAAGCCACTCAGGTTTATTCTTAATTCTTCATATCTTTACTTTTACAAAGAATAATTGCATTTAGAAGGAATCATTTACTTTGAACTTTCTTCTTTTGACTATCATTTGACTCATTTCAGCCATGAATGCAAGAACTTTATTGGAATTTTGTAAATGTAGATTTTAAGACCTTTTTCCAAGTATGATAATGGTGAGTGTATAATTTTCTTGACCTAGATTTCAGGTTCACGTGCTTACACGGCGTCATTTGTTTTTGAATAGTGGGATGTATAGCACAACGTTTCAATATATTAAGCAAGACATGTAATTGGAGTAGCCTAAAGGGAGTCTATTTAAAAATAGTAATTATTTAAGTATGGACAGAAGAGTTAAATGCATTAAGTAATTGGCGGGCCATTGGATAATGGGACCTGATCCATGTGATGGTATTTAAAATATTAGGGATGGTGGATAACCATGGGGTTTATTGTACTATTTAACGGTGTTCATCAGACAAGAACAAATAAAAGATTAAAATAATGAAAGCCAATTTGATCTTTGTCTCTTTGTATTATTTTTCTGTACATGCTTGTAACTTGTAACTGTGAAGTTATCGCTGAACAGAACCGCGGTTAATCAAACAAGAATTTACATTTCACATGGAAAAAAACAAGAATGTAAAGCACTGAGCTACTTTCCAGCAAGATAAGTAGATAACCATTTCTTATTCGTCTGACTCTACGTGATCATCACATAATCTTCTATGATAAATCGAAAATAGTTCCACATGCCATGGAAGAAAAAAGAAACAAGTCTGTTACACTGGTGATTCAGGTTGTATTCTTGGGCCTTAGTTTAAACCTTCAGTTTCAAATGATTAGAGCGTTTATTCAGATATGCTATCTTTAGCTAGATTCATTCTTTCCATTGTTGCAGACTTCAACAGTTTATGCATCCACCTCAGTATTCTTTATACCAATCCGTACTAACCTTTCTTATAGGAAAGGCTGTTTGATACTGAGGGTAGCTTACCTTTATTATGCTTTGCATCTTTGTAGAAGTTGCAATCGTGTGCCAACTCAAAGATATGATGTTCCATGTTAACGCATCCTTTTGGATATTAATGTATTGCAAATGTAGTATGAGATCACATATTTTAATTCGAAGTTAAGACCACTTATTGTTCTCCTCCTTCGTGTTGTCCAATTGACTCTCTAATCCTTGCAATGAATTACAATTTAGGATCCCAGTCAATGGCCATTAGTTGATCCATTGCCTTCATATGGGAGAGGAAGAGAGCGACCTGGTGCAAGGTATATGAGCTTACTCCATGGAGACGGGCTCCATGATGTGATAATCACAGGTAAATATTCATTATTATATTCTTTTGTATTCCTGCAGTACATTTTTGGATACAGTTTGTGGCAAGTAAGAACCTCCTAACTTTATCATAACGACATTCAAGGCCTGTTATAATGTGTTCGGCTGAAATATTGAACTGATTTTTTAGGTGAGAATGGTACTATTGATGGCCAGGGTGATGTTTGGTGGAATATGTGGAGGCAAAGAACTCTTCAGTTTACACGACCTCATCTCGTTGAACTAATGAACTCCAGAGGCATACTCATTTCTAATGTCATTTTCAAGAACTCTCCCTTTTGGAATATCCACCCTGTTTATTGCAGGTATAAATTTTCATAATTTTGTGTCATGCCTAAAAATCTGAAAAGAAATTCTGCAACCATATAGCTAGCCTATTGCAGACTAGTTTAATTTGTTTATTTGTTCCTCTGGCAGCAATGTTGTTATTCGATATGTCACCATATTGGCTCCAGCTGATTCACCAAATACCGATGGAATTGATCCAGGTAAAGCAAAGCAGTTTCTGAAATCAACTTCCTAAAAGGAACCTTTTTATTTGTGTTTGGAGTTAAGAGTTCCGTTTTTGTGTATCAACGCTAGTACTTTTTTGTCATTAAGTTTCTCTTCCTCAAGTCTTCTGAGTGCCCTTTTATTGGCACATTTCGTTATAGTAACTCATGGTTGCTGATTTAGTGAAAACTTTTTGGCAGAAATCCTTGAACTGTTCAGAACTGAGATAGTCTCTGTCTTTTTTCTTTTTTGGATGTGACATTATGCTGAAGAGACATCATGTAGCAGTTGTCATTACTCTTTACAATAATCAGTAATCTTCAATTCATTGACATGTTTGTTTATTATTGCAGACTCAAGCTCCAATGTCTGCATTGAAGATTCCTATATTTCAGTAGGGGATGATCTAGTAGCTGTAAAGAGTGGCTGGGATCAATATGGAATTGCTTATGGTCGCCCTAGTCATGGCATAACCATCCGAAGGATAACTGGATCTTCTCCATTTGCTGGAATTGCAGTTGGAAGTGAAACCTCTGGTGGCGTAGTGGACGTTTTAGCTGAGCATATTAGTCTTTTCAATATGGGAGTTGGTATTCACATTAAGACAAACGTTGGCCGAGGAGGGATGATCAGAAACATTACGGTCTCAAATGTCTACATGGAAAATGCACGGACAGGGATTAAGATTGCAGGTGATGTTGGGGATCATCCAGATGAAAATTTCAATCCAAATGCTCTTCCAGTTGTTAAGGGTATCAAGATTAAGGATGTTTGGGGTGAAAAGGTTTTGCAGGCTGGTTTGATTCACGGTTTGAAGAATTCCCCTTTCTCTGGGATTTGTCTCTCCAATATCAACCTTCGTGGTAACCCCGGCCCACGAAATTCCATTTGGAAATGCTCAGATGTTAGCGGAGCTGCCATTCAAGTCAGCCCTTTTCCTTGTGCAGAACTCACCAGCAGCCAAAAAACTGGTGCATGCTCTACCTACTTCTAAGTATGCTGTAGTAATTCTTTGCTTCCAATTCAATTCAGTATATCACAAAAACGAAACGAAGAATTTTCTTCATGTTCTAAGTAAAATTGTAATTTCAACTTCGCACACAATCATATTGTATACATATTTTCCTACACACCTCTCATGGATGCAAGTTTGTCTAGTGACTATTAAAACACACATCAAAACAAGGTAAAGGTGTATCCTATGCACAAAGTGTTCCCTTGCTATTGCAGGGTTAGGGAGAGAGGGTGGGCGTGTATGGTACGCAACCTTCTTGTATTTATACCGAAGAGGTTGTCTCCAGGCCTCAACCCAAAAGAGTGATTCTACAAATACATGTACTAATACAAAATACTAAAGCAAAAAACATGGAGCACATTTGCAGAACTGCTTCAATCGAAGTAATTATCCAAGAACTTGCGAATGTGCTTAACGAGACCACCTGTCTTCTTTTCCTCTTTATGTGCCTCATTTCCTTCTACAGCTTCTTGCTCCTCTTCTTCATGGTGATGGTGCAAATGCTTCTTCATTTTCTTCTTATCAAAGCTATGATGATCTTCATGCTGCATTGCTGAAATCTCACCATCCTCATCTTCGTGCTCGTGCTCCTCTTCAAAGGGGTCATATAAATGACCCTTCAGTTTCATTTTACCAAACTTGTCATGTTTGTTCCGCTTGATTATGAATCTCGACATCTTTTGTTCATCAACATCATCATCATCAACATCTTCGTTGTTTTGGTGGAGGAAACTCATCCACTCCTCCGGAACCTGATGCAGGCCTCCAGGAAATACATGTGCAAAGTCATCATCATCATCTTCAGAAGGTATCATATCATTACCATAAGGGATCTGATCATCAAGGTGTCTTGACTGTGTTCTTGGCTTCAGGTTGTCTGCATGATGGAAATGATGGTGGTCGCATAATCGCGAAGGACGCCTAGATCTATCCGGAAAGTGGCGGTTGATTGAATGAAGCCGAACAAGCGTCAAAGGTAATACCTTATTCTTTTTGTCCCTAGATTCAGGAATGTGATCTTCATTGTCTTGAACATGTTGAGTTTCTTTGTCAATCTGGTTTGTGGTCGGGGTGGCATCGAATTCTGGAAGTTTGATGTTAATGATATCGTTTTCTTGTTGCGTTACTGGTGTTCGAGCAAATGAAAAGGCGAAAAAAAGGAAGAAAATAGCAATGGAGAGTTTGTCCATTGTGTAAATTTGGTTTAATAGAACAAAGTCTATTTCTCTGAAGACAAAAGAATGATGTTTATGGATATATATATATATAGAAGGATTAATTAGGCTGTTTTTGCTCTATTTTGCTTTGGAAGGTGGACAGTGAATATGGGAAAAGAGAGGTTAAAAGAGGTATAAAACATAGTGATATTTTTTAATCCAATAATATTTATGTGTAGAGTGAAATAAATATTTGACTTAGTTTCTACTCTCACCTTATGCCAATAAAGTGTGGTCTAACGGGCAATGAAGTGAGTAAATAACGTGAGACTAAGGTTCAAATCTCGACCAAAAAAAAAGAGGACAAGGTGATATGTTTTTATCGTGTATAAGTTTCAATGGACAAAGTTATTCGATACTTGGTGCTAGTTTCATCTTGTGTGTGTGCCTCTAGAAGGTACTAAATCGAGCTTCACGCTATCATTCCTCCATTTTCATGCTCGTTTCAACAAACCATATGCTTTGATATCAATTGTTAGGCTACGACGATCATCTAAGATAAACTTAGGTTTTCCAAAAAGTTTCAACATTATTAAAAGTTTCTCTAATGTAGCCTTTTTTTCTTTTCAATGAAAAATAAACTTTGTTATATGTCGATATATATAATTTAAATATTAAAATAGTAAGTATGGATGAGCTATTGCCATGATTATATATTTGATCGTCAATCCTTAAATCTTGCTATTTGTCATTGGGCAAGGTAAATTGAATTAAAAACAAAATTTAAAACTTTGTATAAATATGTAACATTAGTTTATATATTTGCTAATGACGCAGTCTTGCACAAATCAAGAACAAAATAGGGATCAATATTGTCTTGAAATTGAAGTAGTATATTATTATAATATTTTTATAAAGTAGGTAAAGTATCATGTCCTTCTCCTTCCCTCGTCTTATCGATTGCGGGTATATGTGATTTTAAACGGGCTCAAACTTATTTTCAACTTTTCACAGTGGTAGAATATTATTTTAGTTAGTTTCTTAAAGCTATAAAAATATTCAAGATAGTGAATGAAAGCAGTTTAGTAAAAGATAGTACAATTTCTTACATTTTACTTCTAAAAAATAAAATTTTAATTCATTATTCATTAAATTAATACGATAAAATGAAAAAATAAATTTATTTTGTGACTTTATTTTTTGTACCAAATTTAACTAGAAAAAAAATATTAAAAAATTATGCTGGGTGGATTAAGGCGGGTTGAAAATGAAAGAAGTTGTTAACCAGGATGGATTAAAAATTTTGCGGGTTAAGTTCAATCTGTCTTGCCCTATCCAACCTCACACCGCCCTAGTGTCATTCCTGGATATAAGTTCAATTGCTAAAGAATAAAATTTTGCAAAGATCAATTCATTTGAAGAGCAAAACAAATAATTTTTAAGTAAAACTCGCTCCGTCTGGTATTATTTGTCCTATTTTTTAGAGTTAAACTATAAAAACTTTGACTAATATTTTTGATAAGCATAACATGACAAATATTTCTGGACGGAGGGAGTATAATTTCATGTCTCGATACATAAACAAACAAGATATATTTAATTACTAACCAATAAAATTTGTGGTGAAAAACAAGGATTCCAACTCACTATCTTCTTTAAACTCAATTAATTAATCATAATTGAATACCATATAATACCAATTGTTTACAACTTGGTATTCGATAAATTCTATGATGTTATAACCAATAAGACAACATCCAAAAACATTATAAATTCTCTAAAATGATACTATTTCTGAAAGTTTTCTTAAACACTCAATTTTTTTTAATATAATTAATTAAAGATGTTATCAAGAGCTTTTGTCACTAAACATCAAATTAAAAGGAATTTCAATGATCATGAAGAAAATAGTTGCAGATCAATGTCAATTTATGAGTATGAAGAGTTTATTATAGGATTCAAACAAGATGTTCCTCTTGTATTTTTTGATGAAAATAATGATCCTAATCGTAACCATGGTACGGTATCGAGGAAAATAATTTCTTTTTCTTGGCTAAAATCTTAGAAAAATATTTCTCGAGAAAAATATGCGATTTTTATGGTGAAAGTAAGGATAATAGGTTTTATAAATGACATTTCATTCTTCTTCGTCGTCCACCACATCCAATCCCACACATACCCCCCACCCCCAACCCCACCCCACCCCACCCGCAACTTTATAATATTTGTTTAGATTATATTTGTATGTATATATCTTTCGGTTACATCTTATCAAACATCATTAAATAAGTAAGAAATCATTTATATTTTTCAGAAAATCATTTTCCATAGAAAACATTTTTCTTCGTACCAAACACACTCAAAGGTTTATTTTATACGGCTAGTGTAATTATTAATTTGTTGCATTATGAAGTCACCTAAAAGATATCTACATATAAACCTTTTTAAAGTTTGTGATTTTTAAATCTTGAAAATGGAGATTACTTGCTATAACATAACATGTAATGTTGACTTCCATAATCATTCTATTTAATTATATTATGTCTCGACAGGTAAAGCAGTGACGCGTACTTGTGAGCCAAGATTGACACTAAAAGAAGTGTTGAGGGCATCAGGTGGAGTTATGGGAGAAAGTCATTTAGGGATGACTGAAAAAATTGTGCTTTTAAAAGGGAAAATTTGTGCTTTAAAAAGATTTAGAAAAGTTATTTTGAAAAAGAATGAATTTGGGAGAAAAATTGAGAAGTTTGCTAGGGTTAGTAGAGATTGCAAACAACTTGTTCCAATCACAGCTTATTTATATTCAAAGAGGATCAAATTTGTTGTTTGTGATTACTACCCCATGGGAAGCCTTGCTGATTTACTTGCTGGTGAGTTTTCGGTCACGAAAATTTCGAATTTTAAAATCTTAAATTTTTACGTGAATTCAATTTAATTCTCAATGGAGGTATATAGGGTGCGAGTATCAGATACTAAATGAAAAAAACACACTAAAAAAATAACGTCCACTTATTTTTAAGTTACTAATCGTACTTGTTATAAATTACATGTGGTTATCTTTTAGGTAATTCGTGCATTTTTTCAATTATCTATTCATATAGAGATAAGTTAAATTCGCTTAGATTTATTGTTATAGTTCGTTTTTTAATATAATTTCCAAAAAAATAAAAATTAAGAACTATAAAAAAAATGGATTTAAACATATTGCAATTAATGAATGTTTATAATTGTTAAGTAAAATTCGTTTAAGATTAATACGTATATCGTTTTTAATTAGTTTACTTTAAATTAACTAACCAAAAATGTATAGTTATGAATAGTTATCCAATCAGATATCTCTATGATCATTACGTGTTAGTACATGTCACGTTTTATTATAATTATAAATTTAACTTATATACATCGACTTTTTTATCTTGTAGGAGCAAGGAATCTAGGTCAAACGGCACTAGAATGGAAACAACGTTTAAAAATAATTGTATGCATTGCTCATGGCATTGCATTCATCCACTCACAAGATCCACCAAAAGATCAAAAGGATATACAACTAAATGTTCATGGCAATGTCAAGGCATCAAATGTCATGATCAACATCGATTTCACCGCCTGTCTATCTGACTATGGCTTCATGCAATTAGCTGAGAGGACAGAGTTTTCTGATACCTGGCAAAAAAATCCGCCCCCACTTGATGATCAATATGCATATTGTGAAATGTTAAGCCAAAAAAATGATGTGTATAACTTTGGGATTATTTTGTTGGATATATTAGGAAGAAAGCTATGGATGATGAAATTAGAAGAAATGGGGAATGGGGAGTTTGAGTTTTTTGTACAAGGCAAAGAAAGAAAACAAGTTTTAAATGTATTAAACATAGCTTTGAAATGCATAAATAATGATCTAGAGGCAAGGCCTACAATGGAACAAATAGTAATATACCTAGGAGATGTATTGAGGGTGAAAAATTACTCGAATTAGTGTTATTTTAGTGTGAACGATATACATATATCTATATATATTGATATTAGGAGAGTCTTTTCGTCGTGTATGCTTTGAAGCATGTATTACAACGTCTCATTCCCGAGCAAATTGGAATAAGATATGCTTTGAAACATATACGATGAAAAGTAGCTTGTAGAATTTGCTCAACATTTTTTTGTTGATTGTCGACTTGTTCAGCTGATTTCAAGAAATTTATGTCACGCAACATAATAGATGTATGCTTTAAAACATGTTTGAAAACTTTTGAGTTATTTAAATAATATTTTTACTATTAACTTTTGACTCTGATAATTTTTTTTTGTTGATATATGATATATGATGTGTTGTTCTCTTTCTAATTATATATATCTCAGTGTGTAATCTAATACTGTCTAGTGACTAACACTTTTAAAGTGTAACAAGTGTTGATACAAAACCACATTGATTAAAATGTAATCTAATAACTTAAACAGAAATAAAACACATAATTAATCAATACTAGTTCATAACTAATGATCATTGCATATGCTTTTTCTTGGTCTGTATTCTACTTAAATACAATAACAATGAACATATCAGTAGTAAAATCCTACAAGTAAAGTTTATAAAAAATATTTTATTTTTATGTTTTACGAGGTAGAAAAACAATTTCTTTTGACCTATAATAAACTAATAAAGGGATCTTGGAAGGGACAGAAATATAGAGTAGCCTCACGTGTGGTTCTTACACACAACAGAGGGGCATCTTATAGACAATCAAAGTCCTTTTTCTTTTTTCCACGAAAATTAAGATGGAGCGGTAAATATTCTTCTATCGTTAATCAGAGATATTGAATATGAATGTTTTTTAATTGGATTCGCCTTTATTTGAAAACACTTAAACTTTAATATACAACTTTTCAATATAAATTTAAATTAGACTTTAATATAAATAACAAACAGTCAGTTTGATTAGTTTGTTTCCTCCTATTTTTTCTATCACAAAAACAGTGTAGATTCAAGAGGACCACTTGATGAGTTCACTGATACATGTCAAATCTTACACGTGTAGTTTCATGACTACTCCTCCATCTTGATACTAAATAGGGGCCATCTTCGTAAAAATTTACTCGTACTCAATATTTATATCAATATTATAAAAGAGGAGAATATGGGGCGGATTATTTTACAAATACCGGACGAGACATAAGCTTGGAATACCTCATAAATATTTAAATTTACTCCCATTCAATATGTATTCAAATGTAACAAGTAATTATGAACGTTACAATCTAGTGAAGTCAATCGATATTCATTCGTCGAAAAAATCATCGAATATATTTTAATTGTTGTTATTAGATTATTCATCAATTATTAATTGAACTTAGATCATGGAAGTACTCTACTAATCTACTTATTATACAAAAGTTGTATATATACAATTAATTTTCAAGCTTCAATTAATATATGAATCAATCAATCTCATTAAGTCACGGTATTGACGACACGTGGACCAATGGCTACACATAATACAGCTCCTTTTTTGCCTTTTAATAACTAAAAAAAATATAGATGATTATTAGGCTTATAGAGCTAAGGTTATTAGGATTTTATATTAATATAATAACAACAAGCTATGATTTAATTTATTAATTAATTAGTGTAACGTACATTTTGACTGATCCAGTAGTATAATTTTTTTTAATAAAATTAATTATATTCTGTTGACTTTTTCTTCCAAAGCGTGTGCATGGTTAATAGCGTACTTTAATTATTATTTATTTTAGCAGAACCAAAGAATCAAGAAGCTTCGTATTGGAATCATTAAGCACGATTAAAGCAAATCAATTGCATTATCTTTATATTACCACTTAATTACACGATGGATTAGCAAATTGAATTTATAAATTATTTTTAAAAATCATACGAAGTTAATTTGTACCAACAAACATATACTACATTACTAGATTCTAGATCTTTATCGACGATTATTAATGGTAAGGTAAGTATTTTTTTTAGGAATGTTAATCGATAGAACGTGTAAAATCTTAATATACTCAAATAAAAAATTCTCTATATCGGTGAAATAATCACAATACGATTAGTGACAAAATAAAGATGGTTTAATATACGATATTCGTTTTTTTGGAAGGGGAAATCAAGGGGAGGATTACGAGATGAAAAATTGAACAATCTTAACTACTAGCTTGTTTTTACCAGGGCTTTGATATTTATATTGGAGCCTGAGTTAATCTGGATTCACGTCGATTGAAAAATCAAATTCAAATATATGGCTAACTAAAGATGAAGGAGTATCTTATATTATTATTATTATTATTATTATTATTATTATTATTATGTTGCATATAAAAGTGTGTTGACTTGATTCTATATGTATAAATAGCATGTTGAGCTTTCATTTGGTAAAATAAGAAGAAAAATAAAAGAGAGTAATAAAATGGCAAATGAAGAGAGTGAACTTTACTTTGTTTTTATGAACTATGATCCTGAATACGAACGTCTTCGATCCAAAAGGTCAGTATTTCTTCTTTATTTCACTTATAAATTTTTTATAAAAAGAACTTTAAAATAATATTTTCGTAGCTGAACAACAAAAATCTCATGCTAATCAACTTATTATAAGAAAATTTGACTATAGCAAGGAGCTTTTTTAGCGATGAATTAGCTAGGGATTACCAATATATTCCGTAGCTAACATATCTTTTTTTGGTAAAAAATAAATTTGAACTACCTTGAATCTGATACGTACGTACATTTAAATCTTGATTCCGTGTCTGAGTTAATAGAACAAAGAAGGGAAGCTATGAGCTGGATGTGTACATAAGCAATAAACATGATGAGCTGTTAGCAAATACATTTGAGGCAGGAAGCTATATAAAGAGATTGTCTTTGGTTATTGTTGATGGATTTGCTGTTGAAATCACTCAACATCAGGTTAGTTAATTAATTAATTTCCTCAAATTTTGTATTTCTATATTCTTAATTAATAATACTATATATTTTATATTATTATAAATGACATATATTATTTTATGATTACAGGCTAATGTGCTTAGATCTGCAAAAGAAGTGAGGGTTGTGGAGAAAAATCAAGAACTTGCTTAATGGCTTGGATGGTTATTATTATTGAGAAATTTAATATATAGATTTAAAAATATATTTACCCATCGACCATAAAAAAAAAAAGTGAGAAGAGAAAAGGAAGGGAAGGGGGTGGGGTTATGTTTTATTAATGCACCATATATATTGAGCTATAAGTAATTAAATTTATCGTTATTACATATATTTAATTGTGATGATGGATTTTCGTTGATAAAAGTGGATTTGTACTCATGAATATATGTTTATTGTAATCAAATTTCATTAATTGATGACTTTCTAATACTATAATTTGGACATGTATATTATATATTGATAAACGTACTCAGTTTCATTTTTTTAATCGTGAATGCTTTTTCTCTCGAAGTTAAAAAGTTATTTAGTGAGATTCTTTTCATATGATTCTCATGACAAATCTCTCTCTCTCTCTCACTCACACACATATATATAATACTTAGTTTTAACATATATTGATAGAACTAAAAAAGAAAACTCGTATTCTTGAGTTCGCTTTCTTAATCAATAATACTCTTTCTTTTGAAGTTAAGGTAATTTTGACGAGATTCTTCGATATACATCTCTCAAACATCCACCCACATATATATATATATATATAATAACGATAAAAAAATAATCATAATAAGTTACTCTAACAACGATTATAAGTCCTAACTATATTTCTACTCTATCGCGATCTCTACTCTAATAAAAAATCTAAAAGTTTCATGTCACGTGCATGAAAACTATGTTCGACAATAATGTCTTTCCTTTTCTTGTTGAATGATTTAAAAAGAATAGCGATCAACTAGAATAATCTTAATCATCTCTGATCAATTCATGTTGATACTAAACAAATCACTAAAAACGAAAAGAAAAACTAACCACCATTCTGCTCGAACCTTTAGAAAATTAAAAAGAAAATATAACCATTTTTTTTCCTATTAGAACCAACTACAATGATTTCTTTTTTGAAAAAAAAAGACTTTGTGGTCCTATAGTGAAAAGATAAACAGTCACATACACAACACTTTGAGCTGTAGTCCACCACACACAAATGTGATGAACAAACAAACATTGGCAAGTTGTGCGTGTAACAGTTGCAATATGGGCCCTCTTTGAAGACCTAAATATGAAGAAATTGAATTCATGTGAGCATTTTATTTTAATTTTTATCTAGTTTAGGTTAAATTCAAGGACAACATTTTTACCTGCAATATTTCCATTTCTTGACAAACGTTAAAGTGCAACTTGCTAACTCTCATGACATTATTGTGTTTGTGGGGTTACTAGCTCCTCGTCCTTTTTATCTTTCACATGTTACTTGTTACGAGAAGGACGATATTCAGATGGTAAATATTGTTCACCTTTAGATGAAGATAGTGGTTTGGGTTGATAAGAGGAGCAAAATAATGAGAGATTTATTTGTTGTTAACCATTATATTTTTTTAGATAAAATGATCATGTCTAAACGTTATATATTTTAGATAAAATGATCACAATAATACCCGCTTACGAGCTCCTTGACCTTTTTACCTTTCACATGTTACTTGTTACATGCAGGACATTATTCAAATGGTAAATATTTTCACCTTATAGTGGTTTATATCGATAAGGGAGCAAGATGGCGGAAGATTTATTTCTTTCTTTCTTTTGAATGTTTATTGTTAAGTAAATAAATAAAAGTGTATCGTATTGTATCTAATTGTTTTATATTTTTTTAGATAAAATGATTGCAATAATGCCCGCTTGGCCATGAATTTTTTTTTGGACATGTACACGATGAGTATGTGCGCACTTTCTACTTTAATTTAAAAGAAAAATACTATTATATTGATATTGAAGTGAAGCGATTGACCTTAGATTATGCGCCACTAATGTAGCGACTTGTTGAAAGTTGGACAAACTCACATCGTCTATTTTATTTATAATTTGTCTCCTCACATTCGAGCAATGTCCATTCATAGCACGATAAAAAAAATAATTCAATATAATTAAGAGAGGAAAAAGAGCAACGAGGGACATTTGTTCCTTTTTATTTACAAATAAATAAATAAATATTATTGCAAGTTGGAACATGTTAAATAGGTTTAACAAGATATTTTAATTCTTTGCATTATCAAAAATATTTAATGTCAACAAAATTTACTTAGTCTTAATCAAGTCTCAAAAAGCCAAAAAACAGTGGAATGAAAATTACTAATTATTTATTTGGGAACTAAAATACAATTGACCTAGGGAAATCCCCTTGATTTTATATATATAGCTGGTCAAAATTCTAAAGTCAACCAATCCAAAATCCAAATACAGCTAATCTACCTAGAAGGTGGAAGTTTTGGATATTATTTTTTTGATAAATCAAAAAATAAAGTAGTTTAATTAATTAATTCCTAATTTATCTCAACCATATTTGTGTAATCCATATATATGACCCATATCTTTCAACTCGTATGACTAACAAAAGTTGTTAACAAGTCATAAAGGGGATTGGACATGATCAATATTGAATTCGAATTGAAATATATAGTAATGTTTATTTTCAAATAGTTTCAAATTTAGATAGTAAGAAAGTAAATTAATGTTTAAAGAGAGAAAACGCGAATGGTAAATTGTAAATTATATTCTGAATATCCTTGATAAAGCGTATTTAACAAATGAGAAAGTGTATTTACGTAAATATTTTAAATGCCATCTATAAAGACACACTTAGCAAATGTTATTTGTGAATTATTATATGTATTATATGCCATCGTGATTGAAGTGCTTTCACCTTAAATAATAATTTGAACGTCTATGAGCCCCTAGCAAATAAAGTTATGCATGCATACGATGTATGTGTAATCGTGTATAATCAACTTATTATATGTATATCGATCATAAAAAGTTAATAATAAATTTAATCGACTATTTGTATCATAATAATGTGAACATCTTTGAGATCCTAGCAAATAAAGAAGAATTAACCTAAATTTCCACCCACCGAATTAGTTAAAATTAATTTATGCATAATGTATGTGTAATCGTGTATAATCAACTTATATTTTATGTATACCAGCCATAAAAATCAAATAATGAATTTAATCGACTATTTGTACCATAATAATGTGAACGTCTTTGAGCTCCAAGCAAATAAAGAAGAATTAACCTAAATTTCTGAGTTAGTTAAAATTAATTTATACACAACGTATGTGTAATCGTGTATAATCAACTTATATTATATATATACCGGTCATAAAAAGCAAATAATGAATTTAATAGACTATTTGTACCATAATAATGTGAACATCTTTGAGCTCCTAGCAAATAAAGAAGAATTAAACTAAATTTCCACCCATCGAATTAGTTAAAATAATTTATGCACATGTATGTGTAATCGTGTATAATCAACTTATATTATATGTATCCCGGTCATAAAAAGCAAATAATGAATTTAATCGAATATTCGTATAAATCTCCCAACGAAATCCAAGCTCATGGGCCTATTTTCTTTTCAGCCCAGCCCATATTTCCACTGCTTTGCTAACTTCCCCAAATATTGGCGCGAAAAATCATAATCAGCAAAATTAGGCGTCAAATTCCATTCCCGGCATCACTTTTCCGGTAGTTCAAATCCAATTCCTCCGGCATTGTATCCACCGGAATCGGTACTAATGCCGACACGAAGAGCTTCAAAGCGAAGACGTACTGTGCAGAAAGAAGAAGCAGAAGATATCAAAGTTCAACAAGTGGAAGATGAAAAAGAAGCAGAGGTGAATGGAAGTTCAAAAGAGAAGTCACCAGTAGTGGTATTTGCTCATGGTGCTGGTGCTCCTTCCACCTCCGATTGGATGATCAGGTCATCTCTCTTATATGCAGTTTCGCTTTTAGTTACATGCATTAATATTTGAGTGTTATATGGATTCTGATTTCATGATATGTGATACACTTTATATACATAGCTAAGCAGAGACAAATCTAAAATTTTGAATTTTGTAGGTTCCTACAACTATATCAGATTAAAATTATAATGATAACTGAGTTCATAGTCCAATATTGGGTTCACATGAATCTGTAAACAGGCACTCTGAATCCACCACTGTAGCTAAGTTCCGCCCATCCGAGTTAAACGTATCAGGTTCGAATTTTAGGTGAAGGAGGAGGGTTGCGGTAGACTGATATCGAGCTGGAAAAAAGTTTTTAACTGTGGATATAGACATAGAGTGGATTTCTATAACTGATCAGCCAATTTGGGATTTAAGGTGTGTTAGGTGTAACGGAAATTGATTACTTCAAAAGGAAAACAAATATTATGGAAGAGAAAAATGAATTTTCACTTATGGAGGGATGACAATTTCTGCCTTACAATTTTTCTGGCTTTTACTCCATATCATTTGCTTCAATCAACTAATTGACATAGTTGTTATTTAGTACACGAAATAACCAAACTACACTACTCGTTAACCGTTATATGATTTTGTATAGTATTTTCTCCCATGCATGCCAGACACTTCAAGAAAGCATGTTAGTTACTTGTAAATGGCCTTTCCATAATTAGAATTTTGCTACATGCTTTCTAAGTAGCATAAACCTTCTGTGCTAACTTATGACTGCTTTATGAAGATGGAAGGATATGTTGACCAAGGAACTGAATGCTGCTGAAGTTGTGACCTTTGACTACCCATGTAAGATTTATGGGTCACTTTAACCACACATTATATATCAAATATTTTCTTGCTGAAATTCTATGGATTATTGCAGACATGTCTGGTGGAAAGAGGAGGGCTCCCCCCAAAGCAGACAAATTGGTTGATTTTCACTCTAATGTTGTCAAAGAGGTGGCTGCTAAATACCCTGGGCATCCGCTGATCTTGGCAGGGAAGTCAATGGGTTCAAGGTGATCGTCATTACATGCATTCAAAACACCATGTATAACCATCAATTTTTCAATATTTCTCAGTAAAGTAGCAACTACAAGTGTTAATTTATTCCTATAACCATAGTTTTTCCATTTCTGAACTTTCTCCTGTTTATTTGAAATCAGTTTATGTCATCCAGACAACTTACTTCTAACCTTTGTCAATAATAAAAAGGGCAAGTCATGTTGAGTTTCTAGCTCAATTATGTATCAGGGTTGTAGTCAGAAAGGATGTCTATTGGAATTACATAAGTCCAATAAGTAGTTAAAGTTGTTAGTTAGTTAGTTAGGAGTCATGGAAGTGGTTAGGCAACTTGTAGTTGGTTATAACTAACTTCCACTCCAAAAGTGTGAACAATTAGAGTGACATGATCCCTATAAAAGGGAATCATTATTGTATACAGCAATAATAATACAATCTGTTTTCTTCTCCTTCCTTCTTCTTCTTCTTCACATTTCTTTACTGCCATTTCTTAAGAGTTGCAGAAATCTGCAACAATGGAGTATTAACTCCATGATCATATAAAATTCATCATGGTATCAGAGCAGGCGTGACTAGGACTAGTTCGATTTTGAATTTTCTTTTCGCGAAGTAGTTTTTTTGAAGATCAGATTATAGCCATGGCAGAGCTTACTGTAGCAACTCTTGGACACAATCATCCACTCCATCTGCAGCCTTCAGACATGCCTGGTGTTGCATTGATCACAACAAAGCTTACAGGACCTGAGAATTATGGTCTTTGGAGCAGGTCGATGAGATTAGCACTGTTGGTGAAGAATAAGATAGGCTTCATAGATGGAACTTGTTTGAAGAGTATGTTTAAGGATGAATTAGCAGTTCAATGGGAAAGGTGCAATGCAGTGGTTCTTTCATGGATTTGTAGCACAGTAGCAAACAATTTGTTAACAACAATAGTATATGCATCAAATGCAAAACGAGTTTGGGAAGATTTCAAGGAGAGGTTTGATAAATCTAATCTCACTAGGATCTATCAACTCTGGACAGAAGTAGCCACATTAAAGCAAGGTACAGATTCTGTAACAGAATATTATTCAAAATTGAGGGATCTATGGGATGAATATGATGTGTTGGTGCCTTCACCATCATGTAAATGTGATGATGCTAAGCCTTACATTGAGCATTTGCATCAACAAAGATTGATGATGTTCTTGATGGGGTTAAATGAGACTTTCAGTCATGTGAGAAGTGATTTGTTGCTCAAAAGTGAGGTACCTACCATTAACCAAGCTTATGCAACTGTAATTCAAGAGGAAAGCCAAAGAGTATTAGGTGTAATGGATTCAAATAAAGAGCCACTTACTATGATGGCAGGAAGAGGACAAGGACAAGGATTCAAAGGGAAGAAGGTATCACCAGGCAATAACAATATTGGATGTGAGATCTGTGGATTCAAAAATCATGTAACTGAAAAATGCTATAGGCTGGTAGGATATCCTTCTGACTTCAAGAGTAAGAGGAAGCAATCAGATTCTAGTGGATCATACCAGAACAACAATGAAGGTTCTAGATCACATGGATCTTACAGCAATAATACTTACAACAATACTGGAAATTTTAAGCCATATGCTAACAATGCTTCAATAGATAAACAGAGGGAGGAATCTGAGTTTACAAAGAAAGAATACAATCAAATGAAGAGCCTGTTACATAACAAAGAACCAAGTGACTGCAAGGCTAACTTGACAGGTAATGTTTCTTTACAGACAAAATCATCTGCATATGACTGGATAATTGATTCAGGAGCTACTCATCATGTTGCTTCATATGAAGAGCTCATGTATGAATTGAAAAACACAAAGAATGAACACTCAAGTACAGTTCAGTTACCAACAGGAAGCAGAGCTCAAGTGAAACATACAGGCAATTCAGTAATTTTTGGAAATCAAACAGTGAAGGATGTACTTCATGTACCTGATTTTAAGTTCAATTTACTATCTGTGGCAAAACTCACCAAGGAATTATCTTGTAGTGTGAGTTTCTTTCCTCACTTTTGTATACTGCAGGAACTCTACAGTGGCAAGGTGATTGGGATTGGTAAAGAGGTTGATGGTTTATACCTACTACAAAGTAGTATTAGAGCAAGAGTTAATTCAGCTTCAACATCAGTAAAGGGTGCAAGTTTGGCTGACTTGTGGCACTTCAGACTTGGACATCCTCCTATCAAGGTTATGGAACAGATACTTTCTCTTAAGAAGTATTTCAACATCTCCACATACAGTTGCTGTCAGATATGTCCAATGGCAAAACAAAGTAGATTGAGTTTTCCTACAAGTAATTCTAAGTCTACTCATATTTTTCAACTTCTTCATGTTGATCTCTGGGGACCTTACAAAGTTCTTACCCACGATAATAAGCAGTATTTTGTGACAATTGTTGATGATTTCAGTAGATTTACTTGGCTTTGTCTAGTTCAACACAAATCAGATGTGCACATTATATTGAAAGACTTTATGTTGATGGTTAATACACAATTTGGTGTTAAAGTTCAAGTTGTGAGAACTGATAATGGGACTGAGTTTTTTAACTCTAAATGCAGTGTTTTGTTTTCTTCTCTTGGAATAGTTCATCAAAGCTCATGTGCTTATACACCTCAACAAAATAGTGTTGTTGAAAGAAAGCATAGACACATATTAAATGTAGCTAGAGCACTGAAGTTTCACAGTGAAATTCCTATCAGATTTTGGGGAAATTGTGTTAAAACTGCAGCTTATCTAATAAATAGAATGCCTACAACTATATTACAAGGGAAGTCACCATATGAACTTCTTTATAAACAAGCACCTAATCTGGAACATTTGAGGGTGTTTGGATGTTTGTGTTTTGTATCAGTTTTGCCAAAAAAAGATAAATTTGCTCCAAGAGCAACAAGATCAGTCTTCATTGGTTACTCAGAGACACAAAAAGGATATAAAGTCATGGATTTGGAGACTCATGTCATCTCAGTGAGCAGGGAGGTTATATTCATAGAAGATTCATTTCCTTTCAAAAATTCTAGCACAGAAGAAGTATCATCATCCATAGATCATATTGTTCCCATACAAATGGATATGTTTGATCATGCAGATGATAATATACCTTCAAATTCTGTAGACTATTGAAGATCATGTTGAGGAGATCAATCCAATACAATCAGAAGTTGATACTTCTTTAGAGAATAATCTGTTGGAGCCACAACACAGTGATATCACAGGTGATGGTGATCTTGCACCTGCTAGAAGGACTGCTAGACACTCTAGGCCTCCTCTTTGGCATAAAGATTACTTAGTTTCAACTAAGTCCAATGTGACTTGTTCATATCCTATTGCTAATAATTTGTCCTATGAACTCTTGACACCATCTTATCAAAGTTTTATCAGGGGATTCTCAGTTATAGTGGAACCCACCAACTTCAAGGAAGCCTCCAAACACCAACAATGGGTGGATGCAATGCAGTCTGAAGTAGCTGCTCTAGAGCAAAACAATACCTGGGTAATAGTAGATTTGCCATCTGGTAAACATCCTATTGGTTCCAAATGGGTTTATAAAGTTAAACTTAAGGCCAATGGTGAGGTGGAAAGGTACAAGGCAAGGTTGGTTGCTAAAGGATATAATCAACAAGAAGGCTGGACTATCATGAAACATTTTCCCCAGTAGCTAAGATGGTCACAGTGAGAACTGTGATTAGTGTTGCAGCATCCCATGGTTGGCCTCTTTTTCAAATGGATGTTCATAATGCCTTCCTTCAAGGTGATCTCATTGAAGAAGTATACATGGATTTGCCTCAGGGATTTCAGAGGCAGGGGGAGAACAAAGTTTGTAAGCTGTTGAAGTCTTTATATGGCTTGAAGCAAGCCTCTAGGCAATGGAACCTTAAGCTAACTGAGGCTCTAGTTACTGCTGGTTATTCTCAAAGTTCTCATGACCATTCTCTTTTCACAAAGAGAGTTGGAGGTGATATTGCAGCAGTGTTGATCTATGTGGATGATCTTCTTATAACTGGAAATAGCAGTGCTTTGATTGAGGATCTAAAGACTGCATTAGATAGTAACTTCAAAATGAAAGATCTTGGTGATCTAAAGTATTTTCTTGGTATTGAAGTACTAAGATCAAAAAATGGTATTGTGCTTAGTCAAAGAAAGTATGCACTGGAGTTGATTTCTGACTGTGGTCTTGGAGGTTCAAAACCAGCAAGCACACCTTTAGAATCAGGTGTCAAATTAACTACTGTGGAATATGATGAAGCCACTGCAAAGACAGATGATCCTTTATATGAAAATGTTACTGCATATCAGAGACTGATTGGTAGGCTGTTATACTTGACAACTACTAGGCCTGATATATGTTTTGCAGTACAAGTTTTATCACAGTTCATGCAAAAACCTAAGGTGTCTCACTGGGAAGCTGCATTGAGGTTGGTTAGATATATTAAAGGATGTCCAGGACAAGGAATACTACTTAGCAGTGAAAACAACAATGAAATGGAGGCATTCTGTGACTCAGACTGGCATCATGTCCAAACACAAGAAGGTCAGTAACAGGGTATGTGATCAAGCTAGGGAATTCACTCATTTCTTGGAAATCCAAGAAGCAACATACAGTTAGCAGAAGCTCAGCAAAAGCTGAGTATAGAAGCATGACAGCTGCAGTATCAGAAATATCTTGGTTACTTGGAGTACTAAAAGAACTTAATGTAAATGTGATAGTTCCTGTAAAATTGCACTGTGATAGTAATGCTGCAATTCAAATTGGAGCTAATCCTATTTTTCATGAAAGAACCAAGCACATTGAGATTGATTGTCATTTTGTAAGGGAAAAAATCAAAAATGGTATGATACAAACGGAATATATCAACACAAAGGAACAGTTAGCAGATCTCCTAACTAAAGGACTTGGAGTTGCTCAACATCTTGGACTAATAAACAAGCTTGGAGTCTTCAATGTCTATAGAGATTCCAGCTTGAGGGGGAGTATTGGAATTACATAAGTCCAATAAGTAGTTAAAGTTGTTAGTTAGTTAGTTAGGAGTCATGGAAGTGGTTAGGCAACTTGTAGTTGGTTATAACTAACTTCCACTCCAAAAGTGTGAACAATTAGAGTGACATGATCCCTATAAAAGGGAATCATTATTGTATACAGCAATAATAATACAATCTGTTTTCTTCTCCTTCCTTCTTCTTCTTCTTCACATTTCCTTACTGCCATTTCTTAAGAGTTGCAGAAATCTGCAACAATGGAGTATTAACTCCATGATCATATAAAATTCATCAATGTCCGTGTCCTTTTTAGACCTCTTCTGACATGTATTTCAGTATGTGTTCAGAAAGTAACTTTTGTGTAGATAACCTATCTTCTATAACGAGTTACAGCTCAAATTTGGTTTGCTGGATGTTCTACTACTTTCCAATTTCAGTGCTTGAATTTTTCTTTTAGATACTATGCAGCAAGGTTCTATACACACACACACACACACATATATATAATATAATATTCCACATACCCATGCTTATTTGTGTGCATTGCCTGAATTAGTATTTTATTGCCTTCGTGCACTAGAGAATTGATGAAGTGTAAGGTAATTACATTTAATTCCATATTCATACCTGCAACAAATGTCCTCTTTTTTTTGTAGGGTTAGCTGCATGGTAGCTGTTAATGGCATTGGTGCTTCAGCTATCGTTTGCTTGGGCTACCCATTAAAGGTTATTTATCATCCTGATAATACTCCTGTTGTTCTTTCACATCTTTATTACAATTCTAATTCCTATTGCATAATTTTGATGCATGTAAAATGTAAACCTTTGTTTTATTTACTTTTCATTTTCCCTTTTCCGCCAAAGCTGGATGAGTTAATGATGATTCTTTTTTTGATAATGGTAACTTAATGAGTTAATGATCATTGATTTGGAAAATTCATGTCTAATCTTTTTAAAGCTTAGCCGAGATTCTACCTCCAACATGTATTTTGCTGTGCTCATGTATGCACAATTGGTTGCAGTCAAGAATTAATTTGCTTTTGATGTTTATATACATGTTCCTTGCATGATGTGCTACATTCAGTCTTATTCCAAAATCAAGTGCTTTGTTTCTGTCCATCTTGAGTGGTCTAAATTGATTATTAAGATTAGACTGCTCGTCATAAAAACTAAGTGCAGGTACACCTGAACAACTAAATCAAGAACCAAGGCAATAACATTATTTTTTGAGTTTGATGTTCATGATCATGATGTTCATTACTTAGATGGTTATAAAGGGGGATCTGTTTAGGCATGTAGGTATGTACTGCAGTGAATATATTTACAGCATATATGGCATGCGAAGTTTACCATTATTATAGTTGTTTTTGCCATTTTTAGTTATCTTTTACTGAATATATACACAGTCATTTTTAAATAAAATCTCTTTTATAAGTCTGGTCGCAAATCTTTCAGGGTGCAAATGGTGCAGCACGAGATGAGTTGCTGTTACAAATTGATGTACCTGTTATGTTTGTTCAGGTAAAAGCACTTTGTCGTAGATGTTTCACATGGACAAAACGGCCCATCTTATTGAGGCTTATTTGTTAGACGGGCATTATCTTTTATTAATAGGCACAAGAATGGACACACATTTGCTAAATCTGAATTGCTTACAGATGGGCTATATGCTTACTTGTATATGTGGGGCTGAGATATACATTTGAATCGACATATATGCATACATAAATACGATTCATTATGATTTCTTTTGACTGCTTTTGTGCACTCATTGCTAATTTGCTAGGTATAGCTAACTTTGTTATATTGTTCACAGCTCAATCAGTCGTGTTTTCTCAGCCATTACTATAATATCATAAATTCTGTTGCTTGGGAGTTGGAATGGGGGTGATGGTGCTAAGTGTAAACTTATTCATGCTCAAGATTTTGTATAAATGTTATGGCTTAATTTCATGTAGGGTAGCAAAGATGGGCTTTGTCCACTCAAGAAGCTGGAAGCTGTAAGAAAGAAAATGAAGTGTGTTAATGAATTATATGTGATAGATGGTGGTGATCACTCCTTCAAAATTGGCAAAAAGCACTTGCAGTTGACTGAGTCCACCCAAGAGGAAGCTGAAAAGCTTGCTGTTCATGCTATTGCAAGTTTTGTTTCTAATCATGCGAAAGAGGGGTGAAGTTTCTAATGGTAAGAAACAGTTGATAGTTTAAAATATTTTGTCCAGTTTGCGCAAAGATGGTTCATGAATACTTCCTTGTAGTGTATAGTTTTTTTTCCTTTTTTTTTTTTGGGGGGGGGGAGGGGGTGGGGGGGGAGTTTCCTATGACATTGTTGTAGCATATGTACAAATGTTGCTCCCTGTGAAGTATTACTAGTAATTAGTATCTGAAGCTTTAGCCTCTATTTCTTTTGTCCACCTCTAGAGTATCCTGTTTGTCTATTTTTCTATGATTTCATTACTTCAATGCTCATTTTCATCAGTGGTCCAAGCTTCTGTATGACAAATGTGGTATATACTCACTTAAAGAAATAGCAGGTTCCTGTAAATAGTTTCTGAAAATTTGTTTGTGGTTTTGGTTATAGCCAAGATGTATGGCCATTATATGCACAACCCCCTTCACTAGGGTTTCTATGTTTTCTATAAGCTTTGGAAAGAAAATAGGTGGTCATTGGCCATTATATCTGCAACCCTGTTCATAAGGTATTTTTCACCACCCATTTGTTTTTTGTTTGATTTAGGTAATGCTAATAAGTATGTGATTATCTGGTTATATTGGTTTATTAATGAAAAAAATCTTCTTTCTTCAGATGACTAAAATTCAACATTGAGCTTTTTCATTGCATAATCAATATGATAAACACTTACTGACATGACACATCATTCCACCATTTACGTATAAGAAATAAAGATGAAATATGCCTTATTCAAGTTGCTTCCATCCTTGCACTCCTTGTAGCTGATCTTTTGCAGGACTCCTCTTTTAGTTCTTCACACCAAAAACAAGAATTTTAGGTTGTAGTAAAGAAAAGTTTTGATGTGCTCTGGTTAAGGGCTCAAATGTAGGAGAACATTTATTTATGTATTTCACGACATGTTACTTGAGAAAAAACTTAGTAGTTGTGATCATAATTGCAAGTGAAGTGTCCTACTAAGCTTACATGAAGATAAAGGACTATTAACACAGTTGTCTTCTGAATGATTAGTAAAAGGTTGCAGATCATACCTTCTTCCTTCCACACTTTTCATTATCGCTGTCATCACTGCTGCTGCTGCTGTCACTGAACTTGTATTTTTCTTGTTTGTTCCTCCTCATAGGCATGCAGTGGCCTTCCGTCTTTTTCTTTCCATTAGTTGTAGTATGAGTTGCAGAATGTTGGGTATGGTTAGCATGAGTGCCATGAGTTGCACAGGACGCATGGCAGACAGGCTGACCTCCTTTCTGGATGGGTGCTTTCGTATGATGTTCACGGTGAAATATTTTGTGTGACATTTCTCTCATTTTTTCAGCGAAAGAGTGGTTCTCATTGTTTGTCTTTTGGACTGTTGGAGTGCTATTTTTGTTGTACACAGTTTTTTGGCTAGTCGGAGTGCTGGTCTTGTTGCAAACAGCCATTTGACTCATCGAAGTATTGGTCTTGTTGCCAACTGGCTTTTGGCTAGTTGGAGTGCTAATCTTGTTGCTCACGGTGGAGGAATGAACATGATTAATGTTTTGCTCAGTGGGCTTGTTACATTGAACTGATGCCATGAGTGATCAAACTGAAACTAGAGATATTGTCTTCTGGACTGTTGCCTTCTTTTTGCTTGATATTCACAGAATGATTGAATATATATATATATATATATATATATACACACACACATGTACGCAATAGCAACATGAATTAGTGGTTGGATTCTTTTCTTATTTTTCATCAATTGTTCTGTCATCTTTGAATCTCCTTTTCTGCCAAAGGCTAAACTTTGAAGAGCATCTATTCTATTCCAGGCCAATTTATTTTTCTTATGTTTATATTCCAAATCCTTCTTTGAATATTAAACGTGTCCATTATCAAAATACAAAAATATTCCAAAGCCTTCAGCTGAGCTTTTGACCGCATCCACCACACATATTGTGCTTCAAGAAGAAGAGGTAATGTAGCCCATGAACTGACCTTTTGGCTTTTACAAAAATTTCAGTAAGAATGAGACTTGTTGCCATCCTGAGATTCCTCTATCTTTTCTTCCTCCTGTTTCATTTGAAAAAGTACAAGTAGAAATTGTAGTGTTCAGACTTAAGATTTGCATATAAAATAGACCCAAAAAAGAAAAGGAAATGCTGGATTATTTGCTATTTAAATATTGAAAATTTGATGCTCCAATAATTTAATTATTTCCTTTAGAAAGATCGAAGTGTAAATTTGAGAGAAGAAGTGCTGAAACTTATTTTCATCTTGACTAATAGATGAAGGCGAATCAAGATACTATTTCAACAGAAAGCATGGAAAAATTATTAATCACTAATCTCTTTTGTAAATAGTGAATATTTTCTGGTGTTCTAAATTGAAGGTTACTAGCTGAGAGTTGTGGAGGGTTGTCGACATCTTTTAGGTTTGAACTATGGCTAGAAATGATCACTTACACAAGAAGGTTCAATTAGCACACATTGAGGATAAAATGAGAGGAGGTCACTTGAGATGGTTTGATCATGTCCACTGTTATGTGCTGGTGTGAAACCATGGGATGAAGCTTGAAGGTCTTAAAGACGGACGAGGTAGCCTTAAAATCACATAAAATGAAGTTGTCTCAAGGACCTTCAGTATTTGGGATTCATGTAGACTTAGTAAAAGATGGGCAATATAGGTGTTATAGTTTAGTTGAGAATATGTTTTACATGTTTGCACGTCTGTTCTAGGTCATATGCTTGCTAGGAGTGGTTTAACCTTTCAGAGATCCATACCTTTAATTTAAAAAGCACACACAACTTGTAATACTTTTTATTTGTATTTGCATAGTATTGGCATGAAATGATTTAAATGAAGTTAAGTGGTAAGTGAGGATTTATATAGCTGACTCTAACTTTCTTGGAATTGAGGCGTAGTAGCAGTTGTCATTGTTATACCCCTAGGCTCCAGTAAAGGTTTTATGTGTAATTTACTAGATTCTTATTCTCTCTGTCTCTGCTCTCCATCTCTTTCAGTTTGGGCTTTATGAACATCAGCATTCCTAATTTTTTGGTTAAATATGCATAGTCAACTAGGCCCTAATCTATCGTCCAGAGCGTGTTAGTTTCAATACACTCTCTCTTCATTGGTTTAGGCTGGACGAGACCGAGGTAAATTAAGAAGTTATTGAACTTCATGGGCTCTTCCAAAATATGAGTTTAGAACTTAATATTTATACTGCTTTTCAAGTGTTTTTCACAAATACACATGCTTATATGGTTTCAGTCAAGAACGGTGGGTTCAATTGAACCCATTCTTAAAGCTATCTGTCTCTCTTGTGTATCTCATTGCATTTTTCTTTTGGTCGTAATGATCATCTGGTAACTGCTTTTATTCCTCTAAAAATGCAATAGGATCAAAGCCTTCAAATATCTGATAGAATATACTCTTTCTTTTACTTATACGTTCATGAGTAGTCTGAACAGTTTAAGCAAAGACAACAATAACAACATACCCAGTGTAATCCCACAAAGTGGGGTTTGGGGACGGTAGAGAGTGTGCGGACCTTACTCCTACTGCTGTTTCCCATAGACCTTCGGCAAAGCAAAACAGCCTGAACAGTTTAAGCCTTTCTTTTATTTTCATTTTGCATTTAACTTATTTCTTATTGGTTTTTGGAGTTCCCAGGATGTTTTGAGCATTCTTCTTAGTTATTATCTCATTTGAATGGTAGAAAGAAGACAAACTTGCTTAGTTACTAAAAACTCCTTCAAAAATTATATTCGTCAGCTTTGATATCCTGACGTGCTATTACTGGAAAATTGTATCCAAATATTGGAGAAAATGCTCATTCCATTAGAATTGACTCTTTCTTTCCTCTATCCTTGCTCTCTTATTATCGGTTCATACTGATTCCATGATATTATGTGCAAATATGTCTTTGCTCATTGTTTGTTCATTGCATTTTCCACCATGAGGCAATATCGATTACTTTACCCCCACACCCCCCAAAAAGAAAAAAAAAGAGAAAAACTGATCTCACAAGTTTATTTCATTACTTGAAAGGCCATAGGTAATAGGTACAGTAGAAGTATTTGCATTTATTCATTCAGTACACCTGACTCTTTCAGAGACACACACATAGCACCCCTTAATTAAAGTACATAATTTTTTAGCAACAGAAATTTATTAGTGGTATAGCTTCTGTCTCTTACTCACTTGATTGTTTGCAGCTTAGTTGTTCAGCAGCTCCCCTTCTGCAAAAGCAAAATTACAATTTAGGCTTCAAGGTAAATTGGGTACGTAGTAAAGTTGCTATCTTTATGAAACTGAGCATTGTGAAGGGTTACACCAACTAATTCAAGATCTGTTCCCTTTCACAGTTTGTGGATGTCCAGGTTTTAGATCCAATTTGTGAAATACTTACTCTGTTTCATTTTGTTTGTCTTATTTTACTTTTTAATCTGTTTAAAAGAGAATGTCTCTATAATTCTAAATTTTTCACGTAACATATTTAAGACCACAAGATTAAGGACATTTTGGTACATTCAACATTTATTTAGCTTAAGACCTCAAGATAAAAAAAGTCATTATTTTCTTAAACTCTATGTCAAGTCAAAACCAGTCAAACAAATTAATACGGAGGGTGCATTTAACATTGAAATCTGTTTTTTTCTTCTCTATTGTCAATGCCCATCAGATTATACAGAAGCAATAATAGACAATAGGTTATATTTAGATGATACCTTCTTCCTTCCACAATTCTCATTGTCGCTCTCATCATCGCTGCTGCTGCTGCTGTCGCTGCTGTCACTGCCATCTCTGCAGTGTCCATCTTTGTTCTTCTTTTTCCCGATGGTCTTCAGCTGACTACCTATCTTATGCATGATGCCCCCTTCCTTCTTTGAGCCATGGCACACAGTCTGCTGGTTGTGGCTACCATGACTTCCATGCACAGCAGTGGAGCCATGACTTGCAGTGTGCTGTCCGTGGTTAGCATAACCTCCATGCATAGCAGTGGAGCCATGGCCTGTTGAATGTTGAGTTTTGGTGCCATGGCATGCAGTTATCTGGCCCTTAGCATGATTTCCATGAGTAGCGGTGGAGCCATGGCATGTTGAATGTTGAGTTTTGGTGCCATGGCATGCAGTGTTGTGGCCCTTGGCATGATTTCCATGCCCAACAGTGGAGCCATGGCCTGCTGAATGTTGAGTTTTAGCATCATGGCATGCAGTGTTGTGTCCCTTAGCATGATTTCCATGCATAGCAGTGGAGCCATGGCATGCTGAATGTTGAGTTTTTGCACCATGGCATGCAGTCTGCTGGCAGTGGCTACCATGATTTCCGTGAATAGCAGTGGAGCCATGGCCTGCTGAATGTTGAGTTTTGGCTCCATGGCAGGCAGATTGCTGACCATGGTTGTCGTGGTGCAACATCTTGGTTGTCATCTGTTTCATTTTGTCAGCCAAGTGGTGCTCATTCGCCTTGTGGCAAGTGACAGTGTTGGTGGTTTTTTGGCAGACAGTTGGTTGTGCAACTGGCTTTTGGCACTGAAGTGACGCCATTGATATTCTTCAGAAACTGACTCTTGGTATTTGAGTTCTAGTTTCTTATGGCTCTCTTACTTGATATAGCCATTCATATGACATCTATTTATACTAGTTTTGGCAGTGAAAATTCTTCTCTTTTAACACCTCACATCACTAGCTCTTATCATTTTTGAATCTTTTTTTTGTCAGGTAAAGCTATTTCAGTGAGTCTTTATTCTATTCCTTGTCATAATTGAGTTATCTGTTTATTGTTCTATTTTCTGAACTTGGACTAACATATTTGGAACTATAGTAGCTGGAAGAAAACTCTAGAAATAAACACGTGGCCAGTGATTTGATAATTTCAACTACGCCTCAATCACAAACTGAATGATAATTTATGGCTTTTGTTAAATTTTTTCGGAATCAGACTTTTTGTTGCTGAAACTTAGAAATGTTTAGATTTACAAATATGTATTGTACGTACTAATCGTAAATGCACAAACTTGTTACGAGAAAGCTTGGTAGTATTTTTTTTTCTTTCTCTAGTAGCTAGAGTATATTTGAATATTATATAGGTAGGAAATATATGCTACTTGCAAAATTTGAAATACTTCTCAACTTTATTCTATATGCGTTTCCATTATTTGTTGTCTAATTCCTATATTCTTTTCTCTTTTTTACATAATAATAAATAAATAAGAGGGCAATGAATGGCTACTTGCATATACATTTTGGTGATTATATACTTAAGTTTTTGGCTTTTAATTTGACGGTGAAGGTTTTTATATGAGGCAAGTGAGGATAAAAGTTTAATACCGTCAATTTTCAAAGTCATTTAGTGTAATTTGGACATGTTGGGCTAAAGCAAGAGTTGTCACATAAGCCCACTGCAATGGATGATCCAGTATGAAAGAATGATAATACTATTTTTATTCATGTGTACTGGAATAGTCACATTTTTTTTTCATAAAAAAAATTATTTTCTTCTTATCTCTCTCTTATAATACAACACAAAATTGACATCACTTTGTTCATCTCATTGAAATGTAAAAGAAAATGGGTAGATAATAATATGAAGTATATCTATATGTATACACTGTTAATTTGAAATTGTACGTTTCTAATATGTATACATCATTAAATTATATTTGTACAATTCTGATATGTGTACATCATTAAATTATATTGTATAATTCTGATATGTATACATATTCAAGTTGTATTTGATGTATACATATTTAAGCTGTATTTGATGTATACATATTTGATTGCTTTCATATTTGGCCCGATCAGGCTTCATACGTTGTATTTGATAAATACATAGTTAAGTTGTATTTGTATAGTTCTATTATATATACATAATTACTTTATATTTTGTACATTTATGAAATGTATACACTTCTGATATGTATACGCCACTAAATTGTAATTTATGTAGTTTAGGTATGTATAAACTCATGTGTGTATACACCATTAAATTTTATTCTGAATGTATACACTTTTGATATATATATATATATATATATATATATATATATATTATATCCTATCAAAATCAAACTGCTAATACGTATTCATATGAATGTCTCAAATAATTCATTAAAATGGGGTACACAGTTTCTTCCCCTCTCTTCTTCGTGGTATTTCAATTTTTATTTGAAGTTTGAAATATGTCGAGAAAAAGGAATATAAGAAATAAGAGAGATTAGGAAGAAGCAAAGAAAAACTATATCGTAAGAAAGAATTTTTAAAAAATAAAGAAGAGAGAGCATTTTTTTAAAACATTTGACAAATAATAAGATGAAAGAAAATAGAAACAAATTTTTATTTACAAAATATATATGATGAATTAAATATACTAAAAAAAAATTAGCATATCATCATACACAGGTTGAATGTACCTGTTATGCATAAGCTTAATTGCTTAAGACAAAAATTAAAGACCAATACATTTGAATGTCTGACCCGCAAATAAATGAAACACGTTAGGTTCATAAAGTACAGTAATTCAATTTAAATTGACTTTTCAATTCAATTTTTCATACATACTTCTCTTTAAAAAAAAAATTCCACTTCGAAAAGTTGAACCTGAAAACTCTATGATTATAAGTAATAATATACTGAGATGGATAGATCAACCTTTAAATAAATATTCAATTTTAGCTCTTACTTTTCTTTTTCTCATTGGAATGGTCTTTCCAAATTCCAGTTGACTACTAAAGTTACTATTATGTACAATGTTTACAGTTCTCATAATTTAATTATTCTTATAATTATTATATTTTTATAAACTATATTAAAGAGTAAGAATAATTCAACTTGACAACAGTCAGTCAAAAGGCCATTGAAATCTAAACTCATAACAATATAGTCAAACTTTAGTCTCAGAGGCCATTTGTGGGAGACATTGCATTATATAAGTTGGGGAAAAGAAATATTTTGACTCACTAGACAAAATGGGCTGCAAAACTAGTAGTATACTTAGTTCGTCTTAAATTATCTGTCATGTTTCTCTGTTACACGTTTTTTTAAAAATATAAAATAAAAGTTGAAAAAGAAAAGATTGACTCACCATAAGAAATGGGCTACAAAACTATTAATATACTTCCTTCATCTTAAATCGTCTGTCGTGTTTCTCTGTTACACGTTTTTTAAAAAATATAAAATAAAAGTTGAAAAAGAAAAGATTGTCTCACTGTAAGAAATGGGCTGCAAAACTATTAATATACATCCATCGTCTTAAATCGTCTGTCGTGTTTCTCTGTTACACGTTTCTTAAAAAATATAAAATTCAAAGATTTTTAAAACTATTTTACCATTATCGTATTTTTAATACATTGTCTCCAGCATTGTAAATATATTTCCTATTCAAAAGATAAAAGAACACTCCTCCCAAAGTTACTGAGTCATTTTGTTGAGAATCTTTGATATAGTTCTCTCATGTGCCCTAGTATACTCTAGTTGTTCATGTGTGTAGGTTTGGGGAAAATTGATTCACAAGGAGGAGCATTTCAAAGTATAGGGCCAAGGATATTACGTTTTAACTTTGTCTCACGAAATCTACACAAGTGGTGTTAGAGAGTCATGTGATGGCTTACTATTCAACACGGTTCGGATAATACTTTTAGTGAACATATAAGCCTTATTAACAAACTTTTTTATGTCTTAATAAAATATATTTTTCTTCATTTGTTTGCTCGATCGATATATATGTTTATATCATCATAATTAAGATTTTATAATTTCAAGAGCAATTACGATTAGAAATAAAACGAAAATAATTGATTGTATCTTGAACTATTAAAATTACAATTACAATATTTGAAACTTGAAAGAGGAAAACAATAGTATAACACTTAAAATCCTAGGAATTTTCTTAATTGCAACATCTAGAAGATCTTGGTTCATGATTTTTGAATTTTCAACCCTTTTTTATCTGGCCATTATTAATTAAAAATAGAAAAGAAAAAAAATAATAAATAGAAAAAAATTAAGTCATAAAAGCATAATTTGTCCAATCCATTTAAGTTTCGCGAATATCATTGTCCTTCCATTATTCAGCTTGACATATGTTAATGACTCGTTCGATTCAATATACCTAAAATCTAATTTGATATATAACTTAAGTTATTCCCTGTGAAAGTCAAATTAGTTACTATTCATAAAACTTATGTTAAACTTAAATTAGTCAAATTCTAAATAATATATCAAATATCATAACAAACTAAAAATAAATAAAAATTGCATTAAAGTAGAAAAGTGCATTGGAAGACCTAGAAGGTCTAATAATAATAATAATAAGATAATAATATTTGGATTTATTGAGTAATTATGTGACACTCATCTTCATGACTTAAATTCTACCCAATAGAAAAAAAGAACGCGCAATTGAAATGTTTGAATATATTTATTCTTTTTGTCTTTTTCTTTGTCCCCAAAACACATAATTCCTCTAAATATTTTTGTGCTCTTGGTTTCACACCTACAACAACAAAAATATAACGTCGCAATATATTCAGTGTAATTTCATATGTAAATTTTATTTAAAATAATTTATATATAAACATAAAAAGACGTATTGGATGACATGTTATACAATTTAATCATTTTAGATTTGAAATCTCATTTTAAAAAAATAAAACAGTACTTATCACTTTACATAATCAATTAAGTTTTTATCTCAACCTCTGACTTTATAATAAAGACAAGTTTTTTCTTATCAAAAACTTAATAATTAACGTCAAAATATATGGCCAAATCATCAAATGGGCCCCACTTTTGTAAGTTTGAATTGGTCATACATTGGACTTTTACTAATTTCTAGATTAACAGCGTTAAGCCAAACAATGCATCATCATGTACATGTGATGTGAGAAAGAGAAATATAAATTCCAGTCAAATTCCAAATACATAATTAATTAGTTGATTAATTAATTAGTAAACTCAATTAATTTCCTAATCACTATTTCATGTAGTATTATTAGAGATTCAATTCAAACTCATTTGGGTCAAACATGATTAAGGAATTAGAATTAGAGTGAGGTGAAAGTCATAGATTAGTGTTAAATTTAATATTGTTGTATAATTATGGTATGTTTTAATTAATGAGTTGCTTTTACTAATTTTGGGGTTTTCTCATGCTAAATAGGGATGATCTTTATAGGACAATATGCTCTTTTTTGAAAAAAAATATATTCAAACGTGAGATAAATAAAAACGAATCAATTCGTTCAGTTTTGTATTAAGTATCATAGAAAGTCACTAAATATTAAATTATTTTGACGTTGTCTATGTAAAATGTCAATTTTCTTGCATCATAATGACTATATTTAATATTTAGACAAAACTGAATAACTTTTTTATGATAAACAATAATTAATTAATACAATAAAGTAAAAATTAAGTGGCCTCATCGATCTATAATATCAAAATTTGAAAGGATATAAAGTTGTTTCTAATAAAATATGCCCTATACCCCTTGAATTTCTTGCGAATGCGATTTTTTATAAAAAAAATCATTTTGCTCAAGCTCATTCTGATCTTAAATACATATATTAAAATATCGTTATAAAAATTGATAATCATTTTTCAGCGGTTACTAAACACATGATAATAAAACATAAAACAAACTCAAACTTAATGTGTATTTCTCATGAATAATCATTCCATCACTTTCCCCTATAGAAAAAGTTGGAGATCATAACAACTCATAAAATTATATTTTATGTGGATATGAAGATTATGAAAGCAAATATAGAAAAGAAAAAGAAAAGTTAATGTAGAAAGAGATTTATAGTTTATTTTGTTATAAGAATTCTATTTTATTAATTTTTTTCAAAAAAGTTTGAATTGGTCAGCATTTGGACCTTGTTCACTAAAAGATTTTCACTTGAAAAAAGATTTTATGACCAAAGACTGGTCTAAAAATAATAATAATTATTTTTAAAAAAAACTCGTTTTCCACAGTCAACTTTCAAACTATATTCCACTTCAACACTCACTTTTTTAATATTAAAAAAATTAATTTATTTTTTATTTCTCCACATGTCATTTCCTTTTAAATTCACCTGTTTCTAACTCATATTTTCCTCAAATCATTCTCTAAACAAAATTCCCCCCCCAAAAAAAAAAACAAGAAACTTCTCTTCTCCTTCTTCAGAAACTTCTAAATTTCATTACACTACAATTTATTTTTTTATGTAAAATAACCATTTTCAAGATTACATTTTTATCTTTGAAAAAAAAAACAACTAGAAAAATGGATTGTGGATTCAATTATGAATATAATTCATTGATCAATGAATTAACACAAGGATTAGAACATGTTAAGCAATTAAGAGCTTCAAACAAAATTCAAGAATTGGATTTTCATTTACAAATGATTCTTTCTTCTTTTGAAAAATCATTGTCAATTCTTAATTGGAGTACAAGTGGTTTAGCAACACAAACTCCACTACTTGTAGCACCACCTGAATCTTCAATTTCTGTTGATGAAAATCCTAAAAGTGATGATCAAGATTTCATATATGTTTCAAAAAAGAGGTTAGACGATTTTTTTCGATTCAGCTAATAGTTGTTATCTAAGAAAGTCTATCATATGAAAAGATAAAAAATTGTAATCAAGAAAAAAGACGACTTTATGAGATAATAATTGTTAGTTGACTAATTTTAATGATTATTAATTTTTTTTTCTTTTTTGAGTTAATTTTTTTTGTTTTTTTAATGGTTGTTGCAGAAAACAGATGCCTACATGGAGTGAACAAGTGAGAGTGAGTTCAGAAAATGGATATGAAGGGCCTACTGATGATGGATATAGTTGGAGAAAATATGGGCAAAAAGACATTCTTGGTGCTAAATATCCAAGGTGAATATATTCAAGAATTTTACTAAAAAAGGGTACCCAACTTCTGAAATATTTTTAGGGAAAAAATGAAAAATTTAAGTGAAATTTTCAAGATTTTTAGTACCCTTTTAGTAATTTTGTCATGTAAAGTTGTCAAAACGGGTTAATTCAGTCTAGCCCAGCTATGTCCACAAAGGCTATGAATCTGAAGGTTTAAGACAAGCCCGACATTTAAAATGTTAGCCTGGCTGGGCCTGGCTCAAGGCCGTTTATGGAAGTAACGGGCTAGGATGGGCCATTCGTTTTAAACGGCTTGGCCAGCCCGGCCCAGTATATGGACCCAACAAGGTTATTTGGGTGGGGTTGATATTAGCTCAATGGAACTAAGCCTTATCCTGCTCAAGTAGTATTATGGATCAAGCTTATTTTGACGGCTCTACTTTCTTGATAGTATATAATTTAATCGAACATCGTCCTTTGTCGTAACGATGAGATTTCATTATGTTTGCAGGAGTTACTACAGATGCACATACAGACTAATGCAGAACTGTTGGGCAACAAAGCAAGTGCAGAGGTCTGATGATGATCCTGCACTATTTGAAATCACATACAAAGGGACACATACTTGTAACCAAACTTATAACTGTGCTGCTGCTACACAACCAAAATCACCACAGAAACATAAACACAAGAAACAAGCCAACAATTCAAGAACAACACCATCGAATCAAATGCTCGCGAACTTACAAGCAAATCTGAGAGTGAATACAGATGATTTGGACAAGAAAGAAGCAACATGTTCTTTCCCATTTTCACCTACATTCTCTGGTTTCGTAGACGAAAATCTGCATTTCCAGATGTCACAAGTTGATGACAGTTTGGTTGGGGGTTATTCACCATCTTTTGTCTCTCCTACAACTCCTGAATCAAGTTACTTCTCATTACCAACCTGCCAGATGAATGATTCGCGAAGAATGTATAACGCGTACCATTCAGAATCAGACCTCCCTGACTTGTTCTCAGCCAACACTTCATCAACAAGTTCTCCAATTATAGGCTTGGAGTTTCCACTTGAACATGTAGAGCTTGATCCAAATTTCTCTGATTTTTTCAGATAAATAATGTCAAGGACAATAAAAACGAGTAGCTTGGATTTTGATCACTCAATTCTATTTTTGTAGTACATAAATTAACAAGAAAACTAGCCAAGAGCAGGAACAAGCTATAATATTTTGTATCAATAGCCTAGTATTTTTATTTTTTTTTAAATTCAACCACATTCTTGCAAAAAACTGCCTGAATGTTGATAAATTTGATGAAATTGTATGTTCCATGGGAATAACCAAACCACGACTACAAAATGCAAGTACCAAGCAACTGCTTCAAAGCAAAAGTGATGCTCACATTTCAGCATACTTTTCAATAATCTTACAACGAATACGAGTTTTTTTTCATATTCAATCAAAACTCTGTATCCCCACAATTCTCCATACATGCAAACAAGTTCCAGTATATCAGATGAACATATTCATTTTGGGAATTTTTCATATTCCACCACTTACAATGCAAAGGTCACTTAGCTTTACAAAATGAAATGCCTGACGACAAATCGGTCACATGGATAAACCACAGAATCTTGTGTTTCACTGGGTTCTTGCAATCTTGTTCAAGCTTGAATGTGAAAATCATATAAGCAGGCTAGCTAGTGGGCTGTAATGTTGCTTGCTCATGCCAAACTCCGTTCAAGTTGCACTGCCACAAGCGAACTACACCATCGCTTCCAGTAGTAGCAAGTGTCATTCCACTCATGTCCCATTCCATCTGCCATACCTGCACGATAAATATCAAATATGGTATAAGTATAATAAAATTACAGTTTTGTCACCAATAGCCTTAGTGAATTGGCAGATGAGAAAATTTAAGGTAAGGGAATGTAGGATCACTCAAGACAATTGACCCGTGCGTTGAAACCAAAACAAATAATATCAGTCACTTTATACTACCAAGAAAATCAGAAATAGTATTGGGACCTAAACGTGTTAATTGATTTACAAGAACAGCTAAACTAAGTAGGGTTGCACTAGGCACCTCACTGTCATGAGTAGAGAGCATTGCAACCTTCTCCACCGAGAGCCTTCCATCAGAGTCTGGATTTGATCCAACATGCCATAATGCAATTTCCTTGCAAGTGGCAACTGCTATTAATTCATACGGCCTGAAAAAGGAAGCTTTAAATTAGAAAGCGCACACAACAAGATAAACAGAAAAATTTCACTAACGGCGGTGTCTAGCTATATGGTTTTAAGGAGGATGTTGTCAAGAGCAAACCTTCCAATATTTGGTGCCCATGCAACAGTAGAGACTGGATCAGCTTTATCTGCAGGTAAAGCTAATTCTGCAACTGGAAGCCATCTCTGATGATCCTGATCGAATTCCCAAACCTGTGGAAATCTATGATATGATAAAATTACATATGTCCCATCAGAGACCAAGTAAATTAACAGCTTTTAAGACCATCTACTACATGATAGAAGCTTAAGATTTCAAGAATTACATCTTCCGACTTTATAAATGTCAAATAGACACATACAAGAACTAGCTGAATTTTATTTCTTATCAACAAGAATCAAAATGCAATAAATTCACTGCCAACTTTTAGCTAATAAAGAAATATGTAAATAGAACTAATTAAGGATTATAGAACACAGTCCTTAAAGTTAACAATAAGAAAGGAACTTGCCATACCTTGGAGGAGTTTAGGTGTGGCGTATCGGAATCAAAACCCAAAACGAAGCTTGATTGCTGGATTTCTCCTTTCAAGGGATTCCAAGCAATAGAAGCCGATCGGCATGAAACATTTCCAAATTTAGATACAGATTCAATAACATTCTGAAATTCAGCCTACAAAAAGAGGACTAAAAGTTAGCTTCTCCATTTCTTAGTAACATTCATAATGTGTCATCTTTAAAATAGAGTCAGAAGAGTAAAAAATACTATCATCATTTTCAGAGTATGTATAAAACAAGTACTGCACCAGAAAAATAAAGCGATATAAATGACCAATAAGGAAGAACATGGCTCACGAGGCAGAAAGTCAAAGAAGCAGAATGTAGATACACACCTGCAGCTGCCAATTCTTCAATTCAAATGGATCTAGGAGCTCAAACACTTTCACTTGGCCATCCGAATAAGCAGCAACCTATGTGAAAGAAAATAACGGAAAATGTGATCAAAATGACTTTATGTAGTCATATAGACTAAAAGCTGAAAACCAAGAATCACTGGATCAGGCAGTTTCATCTCATCCTTGTCTATCCCGTCAAATTGAAGAAAAAAATAAGGAACATCCATCAGATCTAAAGGCCCATAAATTAAATGATTTGCGAGTAAAATAAAGCAAGACCACAATGTACAGGTATTGGCCCCTATCCTGTCACATCGTATTGCCAAATGCAAAAGAAAGATTAGGGATCTTTCCTCGAAACTTCAAACGAGGAAAAAGAAACTTGAAATACTTTTAACTTAGTACCGATGTGATCTTGTTCAAGAAAGCAATTCATAGTAGTTATTCTAGACGGCATACTTTAGAGCCAAATCAGTACAAATTAGTGTGAACCTATAGTTGCTTTATGTGCCTCCTGATCAACAGCTTGAAGAACTCACTCAAGTACCTCAAGCATCTTATGATAGAGTTTTAGTGTGGGAAGTTTGTATCGGGCAACATCTGACCTCGTAGATGTTCCCCTTCTTTCCTTCCAGATAAATTCATTAACTACCCTAACCAACTTTACAAGTAGTTAGGGGAGAAGTCAATGAGAAGAACACTTCGCTTTCACACTCCCAATAAGAGCTTCAATTTTTTAGACAGTGATATCAATAAATGCAAGTATTAATAAGCAATAAGCAACTTGGCATTGTAGGTTCACTGCTATTCAGTTAACAGATTATAAGAGGTGATTTTAACAATTTAAGAAGACAAAAGAAGGAAGAAAAAAGAGTACCGGATATGCTGAAATAAATTTAGATGAGATATAAGGTTTTTAATCAATAAAGGCGAGTTATTTTAGCACATCACTCTACAAGTAACAAGAAATCAATCCCAATGCTGCAGCAAAGATCAAGAGAAGGGGGAAGTAACATCTCCTTTAAGGGCAAGCAAAAAAACTATACATTCAACATCTCAGTCAAGGGCAAGCCATAAAAAAATTAACTATTCCTACAGAGATGCATACAACAATAGATTGCTTACGACTATTGAGTGATTCCATCATAATGCATCTAAAGCACTATAGACATGAAAGAGAAATACAACAAAATCAGTAATCATAAACTCAAAAACAACATAGATACATCTCTTTGTTCTAATCTCTAGCACCCTGCCACCCTCAAGCTATTGAAACAACTGCTGTCACATTTCAATGTCAAATCATAGACATTTACGACCAATCTAATTTAAACTCACCAATTTCAGACTTGTCTGGGAGACTCCAAACTGAACATCCAGAACTAGGGATGAGATTCTGTCAAAGCATTTGCACAGCTTCCACTGAAGCAGCTCTGAATCTAAAGATTAGTAACTCATTGTAAGTCTCCAGTTAAATGTTGAGAAAAACAAATGTGAAATTATTGTCAGAAGTAAAATTTGAGAAAGTATTTACAGATAAAATTAAAAAAATTCATAGATTAAAAAAGGACTATGAAAGCAAGTAACTCAATTGATGATAAGATTAAGATTATAGTTTCACTGGTTGTTGGAAACAGAGATTATTACTAAGAATTTAAGGGGATAAATTTATCTTCACAATTACTCTTGTCAAACACAATAGAAAAGAAAGAATAAATGACATAAAGAACCAAAATAATTTTCAATTTCATATCAAGTTTCTTGTTTGGATTTATTCTATTTTTCCAATATTTCATGAACATTTGGGGAAAAATAGAGGATAAGTTTTCTTTTGCTTCTTTTTCCTGACTTTAGAGATTCAAAAGAAAGAAACCAAAGATTTCACTTTGACTATCTACTCTTATCAGCAAAACATCCCCATGCAAAAAAGAAGGGGAAAAGGCACACATACATAATGTTCAGCTTAGCTTCGTGACAGTAATTTCATGAACAAATGCCGAATAATGTGTCCTCACCTTCAACTACCTCCTCCCACAACAACAAACTTCCATCAGCACAAATGCATGCAACTACATCTCCATATTCTGGTGGAGCCCAAACAACTTTTACAATGCTGGATTCATGCACCTAATCAAAATGTAAATGCAATCGCATAGATTTCAGTTCAAGAATTTAACACTATTTTATAATCACAATTAATTATTTTCATAGTTAAGCGAAAGAAAAAAATTAAAAGCTTATTTGCTCAGCACTACATTAGTATACAAAAAGGAACCGAGTTACAGTTTTTCTTCCTTTTGAAGTTAGTTTATACCATTCATCAGTTTTTCAATTTCATACTCAATCCTTAGATTACATTAGAGCAAAAGAGGGTCCCAATAAAAATGGCCAACTGAATGAAAAAACAAGGAATCAAGTTTGACTGATTTGCAGTAGTTATGTATCCTGCTTCTCAATAGTTATTTGAAAGTTCAACATTTTGCCATACAGACCATTACATCAATACTTGGAAGCTTTCTGGACCGTAGTTTGACAATACTACTTGTCCAGTTTTTTCTGCCACTGAAAACTTATTAACATATACTTATGGTATCTGTTACCTATACAAGAAGCACGACAAGGACGTGAATCTCTCTTAATACATATGACTTCACAAGGAAACGAACTATCAACTTCTGCCCCGTTCAACATTTTATTGGTTTCTATTCAAAAATAGGAGATTTTTGTATGGACTCCAAAGTCTGATATCAAGAGTCAAATGTTCCCCTTTTTTTGTTTGGGCAGTAATAACTCACTATCCCATCTTTTTTATTATGAGGTGGTGCCTGAGCTAGTTTGAGCAAAATTCTAACTAATTCCACCATATACCTCTATCTCCCACCAACACGTGTACGTCATAACTTTGCTCACCAAATGCCGGGATTTGAACCAGAGAACTCATGTTCTACCTGACTTCATTGACTACAAGGACAATGATACTCACTATCCCATATACCCGACCTCGGATTGATACATACTTGTTCTATTTATTCTGCAGCAAATTCCTACATGTATAAATAATCTATTCGGCTCTTTGGATGTACATTGCTACAACATCAATCTATATCCAAAAATTGTACTTCCCACAAAAAAAAAAAACTTCAAATCCGTATGACTTCAAATTGAGAGCTAAAACAAATTCATATGAAAATTGTGTTTTTATCTAACCTTGAATTTAGAAGAACCACTGAAAACAGATGAAGCCGGATCAGTAGAATCAAAAACAAACAAAGTACCATCAGTTGAACCAGCAGCTAATCTGTGACCCGAATAATTCCACGCAGTACATGTTGTACCTTCTTCAAGCTTAATAATTGCTTTATCCATTCTTCCTTCTTCACCAAATGTAACAAATCTTAAACCCTAAATCTGCAGATTTTGCTGGTTCTAAAAACCCCTTTTCTCTTCTAGGGTTTTTGGCTCTCGACACAGTTGCTTCTTTAACTTTTTTTATTACAAAAACCTACCCTGTAGTTTCAAGTATTACATAAACTACCTTTTTCTTTTTTATTTGTATGTAAACTACCCCCTGTAGTTTCAAGTATCACATAAACCCCCTTCTTCTTCTTTTTATTTGTATTTAACTAACTATTACTATACATTTGACTATTACGTACACTTTTATTTTACGGATACGTATGGTAAGTACTCTTCGTCTTCAACATTGAGGTTGTAGGTTTGGAACTTTGAATCATTATAAAAGTAAGTGTTATTTTGACAAAGTTAATACATGAGAGTTTAATTTACCAAGAGGTGACAAGAACACAACAATTTTAGTTGAAACCTATTTAAATAACTTAAAAGTAGATTTTATAAAAAAAAGTGGATAAAAGAGGTAGCCCATATATAGACTCAAATAACTAGTTCAGTGAAAATGAATTATGTATATCGCGTGGATCAATTTACTTCGATAGTGTTAGCAAATGTATAGATTTTGTATATTTCAAATATGATATACATGTAATAATACATAATTAATGTATAAATATTTAATACTTCGATTATATGGTAAATTAGTTTGATCGAACTGTACATATTGGCAAGTCTTTTAAATTTGTTTCCAATTAATATTTCAAATTGTGAGTGGTCATAGACATAGGGCCATCCCAATTAGAGGTGTCAATTTACTTTCCTTCGTCATAAATCATACTATATGTCAATACATGATTTTATATACATAATTAAATATATATTACTCATCCTTTATAATGATATTTTTCAAAAACAGTTAAAAGATTTGTAGACAAACAATATTGGGAAAGAAAAATAAATAAATAAAAATCTTTAACTTCCAAACAATTATAGAAAATAATTTCCTCATCAATAATAATGTGTATCATTTTCATTATCATCATTTATCTTGTAACTTGTAAGAAACTTGAAGAAAGTGAAATTGGCAAACCTACCTCTATGTGTAGTTTCCCTTGTAAATAGGGTGTCTTTTTTTAAAAGATTAGTGAATAGTCCACATGAAGATGTGGACAATCACAAGTTTGATTTGTAGGAATAAATAGGTGGTAACTTTGACCTAAAGCTTATTAATGTGTACTCTTAGACACTAAATGAGAGGGTGATATGTTTTTATTCGATATTCGATACTCATATATATATTAAGTTCAATTGTATATAAGAAGAATATATGTACGTCATGTTAGCTAATTAAATTTGTTTATAAATATTTCTTATTATTTCAATTAGTGCTAATACATTAGTTAAGCGGGAGCGCCACCCTCAAATGAACTCTGCAGAACGCGATTCGAATTTGGTGGGTGAGCTCCAAAGATCAGGTGAGAAACCCAAAAAAAAAAAGGTCTTGCTTCCCTTAATCTTTCCTAAGTAAATGAAAAATAAATATCGACATCTTATAAAATATTGGTCCAATTCTATAAAACATCAAAATATTGATATTTTTAGTCAACCTATAATGCCTCCCAACTATTAAACATTTCTTTCAAAATGCAAATAAAACTTTTAGAAGATTTTATTTCTAAAAGAGAAACCTAATTTAAAACAACAACACGTTCAAACATTTTTCAAAAAATAAATTTGGGCCAAACATGTATTGTTGTCTGCATTAAATTCATTGATCCATCCTTTTTATCTTTGTTTCTATGTACTATACATATATACACTATTGACATGAAATTTGAAAGATACTCGTAGAAATTTCTAGTTTAGTAAGTAATTAATGAAGGAAAGTTCTTCGAATTTTTCCTGTCGATAGGTTAGGTGGTGGTTGCCTAATAAGAATTGTTAAGCTTCTCTTCTGTATTTTCTTTATTATTACACCGAAAATAATCATTGACATTTTGTACAAATTGTTAAGTTCAACTAATATCAAAACACTAGCTTTATATAGTCGATCATTATAATTTTTCGCTTATTAAATGAATTTTTGGAAGTAGCATATAAAATCTTAAAAGATAAATAATATGTACTTAAGTATATAATAATGAATAATTTAACTTAATAATATAATAAACACGTCGAAAAATTTCAAATTGAATTTGGGCCACTCATGTATGACACAGTGTGCATTAAATTCATTGTTTTTTAATCTTTACTAGTTGTACGTACTATTAGATTGACATGAAGTTTGATAGAAACTATAGTGTTAAATTGCCCAATCAAATGCTTCCTTCTGCAAAATAATTAAATGTATGTAATGCTGTAAAGTATATAAATGCTTTGCCACCAACCTCACGAGTATATAACTATAGTAATTAATCATCTTTTCTAATTAATTGAACCAATATTCATTAATTATATTCATGCTTCATCCGTGAACATCTTTTAATTTTTATCATACCATTTTTAATTTGTATCACCTAATTTGATCTGAGGATTAATCGGTTCGGTTCAATTATGAATCGGAAAAAAGTAGGGAAGAAAAAAAAGAATTAATTTGTTCAATCTGATATGTACCTAGCTAGTTAATTATAAGTAGTTGTGAAGCCATGAATTTTAATATGGAAATTTTATTACAAATTTGTTTATTTCGATACGTAATCAACTACTTATAGATATTGTAGCGAAGTTAGGAACTTTAAAAAGGAATTGAGATAAAAATAGTAAGAATAAGAGATTAATGATTTATTCGTTTAATTTAATCCAAATATAACTAGTTATAAATAATGATGAAATCATAAATTTTAATCAAATATATATGCTTCTACGAATAAAGATGTCACTTGTAAATTGGAATTCAAATTGCAACCTAAACCAATCTTAGAAGCTCTCAATTATGTTAACATTAATGTTAATGGGATTTATATTGGTTTTATCTTATAGTATGATTTTTTTTGACGAAAGAAAATTTAAATATGTATAGCTCTAGTAAAGCTGTAATTTGGTTTTTAAACTTATCAAGATTAATACATTATTTTTTGTTCTAATTTTTTCAAGAGCAAGTCAATATATAGTACAATTCATTAATATTCTCTTATGTAGTCTTTTAGCGATCTCCACAAATATAGACAAAACCTTTGATTATAATGTGTCTTTAATTCAACCACCATAAGATGCCAATAAATCTTTTTTTATGGTAGCTAATATCTTCTAAATATATTACAAGACCATCCAATATTATTTTTTCCTTAACATAGATGGTACATTTGGTCATACAAAAATCATTTATTATCATTTTTTGATGTTAAATTATTAGGTAAATATTTTATTAAAAAGCATATAACATGACTTTTCTTACTCATAAGCGGTAGTTATTTCTAATAATTATTTCGACTTTTAACTTTATATTACTTGATTCAATATCAATATTATTATTAACTTTTAATGTGTATTTTTAAAAAAATATTTTTCATTAACTGATTAAACATCAAAAATATAAATGATAAAAAGAAAGCTACCCCTATATATTTTCCAAGAAATGCAAAGGAAGTGCTTGGTTAGTTGTCAAATTTAGGTCAATTATAGATGGGTCATACATATATTTGCTGTCAATTTTTACTTAAATACTCCATTTCTCCTCCTCTAACGTAGAGTTGAGTCTTCATAGTTGGAAGTCAAACTTTTAGGTACCTTCACTCGTGATATAAAGAAATCAAATCACTGCTATTAAACGATGTGGTGTAATGAATAAGATCATTATTTTCTTAATTAGAAATCTCATCTCGAATATTGTGTATGGAACTATACAAGCCCTGCACGACATATTCAATTCATAAAGCATGAAGAAAGTCTCAAACCTACAACCTCCTGCTCAACTAACTTAATTATCGTTATAGATAAATCGATAAATTTATCAGGTTCACAACATAAAAATTACCAACTGCTTAACAAATTAAACTCGACCATCTACGTATAAAACGATAAACTTATCGAGCTCATAACATGAATATTACATGTTTGAGGAAATTTCCTCACCTAATCAATTAATTGCGATATTAATGATTTTTAAGTCATAAAGAAGTAGATTTCATGATTAAATACCAATAAATAGAGAATACTTTGCACTATTCGCGCTACTTTTTACGTGAATTAAGGCGGGAGTTAACTAAGCTAGCTTGCTGTCATTAAGGCTACCGCGTAAACCAAAAATAACTTACGAGTTACTCGGGACGATAAACCTATCTCAATTTCTAATCATTATAAGTTTGAGTAATGTTTGTTTACTCGATAAGTTTTCAAATTACGCATTATATTTCTTTCGTCCTAAATTATTTATGGGAGGAATTTTTACATATGAATCACAATTAAGATATTTTTCGTCCTAAATTATTTATGGAAGGAATTTTTACATATGAATCACAATTAAGATATTTATAGTTTTTGAGAACAATAACTCGAACCAAAAGTTATGGAATAATGTCACTTATTCTACGTTGTAGGCCATGAAAACTTCAAATTTTTGAGTTCAAAAAACTAGCAACAACAATATTCCAAAAGATGAAAGAAATTATTGCTATACATATTAGTCATAAATATTCTAATTACTTAGATTAAGATCAATATTATCTATCAAGCACATGAAATACCAATAGAAGTCGCCGTGAACCGTTCGGAACCCGTTCTTCTAACCAACGACTTAATCTCCGGCGAAAGTCCGTCGTACTCCGGTCCTTCCGGAATCGTCGTAAGTGCACCAGATTTATCATAAACGACGTAAAATCCATCTCGATTTTGCCCCTGAAACAGCGGACTGTTGCTCTGTTTTGCTCTGAAAACGGATTTGAGAAGTTTCTGGAAAGATCTAGAGATCCTAGAAGTTTTTTTGGAAATCGGTTGAGTAGTTTGCTGTGGATCTGTTGTTGACGGTGGAATAAGAAGACGACGATCGGGTAAATGAGGCATTGAGAGGCTTCGAGAAGATATGGCTGAATCGAGTTGACGTTCGAATGATTTCAACTCAAATGAGTCGTAGAGTGAGCTGCCGCAATCCCATATGAGAGGTTTGTTTGCTGCGGCGGA